TTTGTATAACAAATTTAATAAAAAGTGAAGCATACAGTTTTAAAAACACATACGTTTATTTTCTGCAATTGGCCCACTAGAAAAAGCCAAGCCACCACACATTGGATCCCAAATCACTTTTATTAATAAATCTTTTAGTATGCTGTTCCTCTTAATTTATTCTATAGTCAGCCAGCTTGCCTGCCTTCCTAAAGGAGGAACAAAGGAAGGGGATGAGTCCCCTGTTACAGCTGGAAATGTTTACTGCCAGTTCATGCTCAGACTGATGTGATACAGTGGTCTGAAAATAAATTAAATTCTAATGTCCGTTTTCAGGAAACATGGAAAAAGAGAAGAAAAACAAAAAAGAATTACTGCTTCCAGAAAAGTAGGTGAAGGTAAAATATAGACCAGGCTAGGCAGGCTCCCACACTTGGGATGTGAAGTCCACAGCTGTTAAAGAGCCAGCATGAATGGAGAAAAACTCCTGAAGTGCAGAGAATGAAATAAATGGAAAAAACAGCATAAGTGAAAGGGTTTTGGAAAACCAGCAGCTATTTTCAAAAACTGAGATTTCCAAAGCTTTCAGACACCACTCTCTTAAGCTTCTAAAAGGAAGGAAGCAGGCTTGCAGTTCTTTTGTTGACAGGGCCTTCAACCAAGGATTCCACATATACAAAGATGGTACTCAATCAGTAATTTAGTGCTAGTCAAATTTTAAAGACTTGAACAGCGCACGAGAAGGCCCAGCGTTTCCAATATATATCAGTAGCAACTTTTGCCCTTTTATTTCAATTTCTTATGCCTCACCCAAAAAAGAGCAAATGTATTATCAAAACAAAATGGATTTTCAAAAAAATAAATAAATATGTGCATAAGCTACATGATTTGGAAATAGCTACTATAATTTAAATAGAAAACTGCAACCAGGTGACCTGTGAGTCAGCTGTTGATGGGCAACTTCAAAGCCCTTGCTACTCTCTTTTCAGGGGGTTCTTTATTTGCACATCAAAATAAGCCAAACTATGGCATGCTGCAGGGTTGGGTAGCCTCAGGCCCAGGGCTAAGTGCAGCCCTCCAAGCCTCCCTACTTGGCCCTTAGGCCACACCTCCTCCACAGCCACACCCATTTCCCCAGGCCATACCCCTCACTAGCTCTTCTTTGCACCCTTGTTTTTGCCTGGCTGGAATCTGTCCTTGGACCCTGGCAATGCCTCTTGCTGTCCTAATGGAGGACAGATATGTAAGTGTGGGAGTGTGTGTAGAAACTAGCCTAGCATAAAAGGTATGCACATTTTTCTGGTTTTATATTGTAAACTGCCCTGTGATCCTTGGATGAAGGGCAGTGTGAAAATTTACATAACAACAACAATACAAAATAGATTCATTCCTCTGCCCATTTTTCCCTCTGACCCACCCAGCCATAGGTGCCAACTCCCCGGTCCCACCGAATTCCCCATAAAGTAAGGTTACCAGATTTATTTCAATGAATCTAGGGACACTTTTCAACTTTTCAAAATGGATTTTGTCAGGGGACTGATTTGTAAATCTGGGGACTGTCCCTGGGAAACGGGACGTCTGGAAACTTTACCATAAAGGGGACGGGCACCCACAAATTTTGTTGCCAGGGCCATGCACGCTGCATGGTAACCATGGTCATGGGGCTAGGCTGGCACTCCTGCCACCCAGCACCTGGGAAGTTGCCCAGAAGAGAATGTGGACCATAGGCTGAAAGGTTTTCCACCCCTGGCATACAGGGACCTACATGAATGTGCAGGCTCCCCGAGAGATGCCAACAGCCACTTTTATCCTCCCTGGTCTTTTTTAAAGGTAAAAGTAAAGGGACCCCTAACCATTAGGTCCAGTCGTGACCGACTCTGGGCTCATCTCACTTTATTGGCCAAGGGAGCCGGCATACAGCTTCCGGGTCATGTGGCCAGCACGACTAAGCCGCTTCTGGTGAACCAGAGCAGCGCACGGAAACGCCGTTTACCTTCCCGCCAGAGCGGTACCTATTTATCCACTTGCACTTTTAAGTGCTTTTGAACTGCTAGGTTGGCAAGAGATTTTTTACTCCTGTGTTAATCACAGGCTATGGTCAAAAATAAAGCAATATTTTTTTTAAAAAAGATTTTATTAAAGCTTTTTCATAATACAGCAAGATAAAAAACTAAACAAAAACAAGAACAGAGAAATTGCAGAGGGGTATAAATAAATAAATTATTATTATTATTATTATTGGGTTGTAATTATACTTTACAGAGTTGTGTGGAAGTTGCCCCATGTCGTTTGACTCTCTTTAATAGTTATTGTTCTCTTTTCTCCCAGAAAACAACAACAACAACTATGCAATACTTGTTTTCTAAGTTTAAAAGTAACATATGGCTTTTGCTTGCTGTACTTGCTCTCGTCAGGTTGAATGTAGAAGAGAAGCAGGTGATACTTACGTTCCTGAAACATATTTACAAGAATTTGTATCTGGGATGGACTGATATTTACGGATTGGCTCTGAGGCAGGCAGCAGCAGAGCACAACACGCTGCTCTCACAGTTAAAACTCAGTTAAAACTCACACAGTTGATAACTGAACTGAAAAAAATGCCTGTGTGTGTGTGTGTGTGTGTGTGTGTGTGTGTGAGAGAGAGAGAGAGAGAGAGAGAGAGAGAGAGAGAGACGTAACAAAATTCTATACTACAGCATTAACCCTTTGCATAGTATTTTGGATGCACCGTTCCAATATATAGGTCCCCTATCCCTGACCTACTCAGTCACACTAGAGTTCCCTCTCCTGCTCTTTTTGGTTCTCCTTTCCCCTCGTTTGTGTAGACACCCCCTCCTTTCAGTCTCTCATAAACATGCATCAGTTATACCAGCGGCACTGTTGTCGGAAGATAGCAGAAGACAAATGGCCTGATCAGAGAGACACGGTTTATGGACTTTTTACATTTGCAAGTGTTGTGATTGAAAGGTTGCCATGCTTATTGTGTGCTATTTGGGTGTTTTCTGTATCAAAACTCAATAAAAAACAATTAAGAGGGGGGACATGTACTAATCACATTTTGAAAGCTATTGCTGCTGGGGGGGGTGTCGGGGTTCCCTGGATCTCTCTGTCCTAATGAAGTTTGCGACATGAAACCCTCGTCATTCTTGCCTTTGGGATAAAGGTCAATTGCTGTATTTGGCCCAGGTTGTTGCCTCTGGCTCCCTAGGGCTCCATCTGTTCAGGATTGATGAATTGCACTCGCATCGTGTTCCGTGTCAACATCAAGTGTCTGCTTTCCTTCACCCATTCCTTTGTTGCTCCTTCCAGACAAACACATTACAATTATCCAACTGTCTGTTCTGGATCTCGCCAGTCATTTCCCAGTGTAGTTATTTGGTGAGGTTTGAAGTTTAAACTGATATATTCAGGAGTTTATATTCTATCAGCTAATAAGCACAACTGGAGCGAGACAGCACTCATACTTATTGGGATGGATTGATCCTGAACATCTTAGCAGCTTCAGTAATATAGTACTGAGCAGTGTTGCCTCCAGGATCTTGCCACCCACCCCTCCAAAAAAAATAAAAATAAATCAGGAAGAGGTAGGCCATGTATACTCTTAAAGTTAAAGGGACCCCTGACCAGTCGTGGTCCAGTCGTGGCTGACTCTGGGGTTGTGGCGCTCATCTCGCTTTATTGGCCGAGGGAGCCGGCGTACAGCTTCTGGGTCATGTGGCCAGCATGACTAAGCTGCCTCTGGCTAACCAGAGCAGCACACGGAAACACCGTTTACCTTCCCACCAGAGTGATACCTATTTATCTACTTCCACTGACGTGCTTTCAAACTGCTAGGTTGGCAGGAGCAGGGACTGAGCAACGGGAGCTCACCCCATTGCAGGGATTCAAACCGCCAACCTTCTGATCAGCAAGTCCTAGGCTCTGTGGTTTAACCCACAGCGCCACCCGCGTCCCTTATGTATACTCTTAGGCTGCATCTAATCTTCTAGGATATTCTGTGTGAAATGGGAATGTTAGTGTGATGGACCTTCTGCTGGTTTTGAGGCCCTTGTCCACTACACAACAACCTCCATTGCCTTTCCTGCTACTGAGTAGTAAAGATTAAAAAAGTGCAGGGGCATAATAATCACACGGGCTGTATATAAGTGCTGGCCTGCCTGAACTAGGAGGAAGATATTAGAGAGGCTGACACAGTTAAACCTTGGCTCTTGAATGCCTCCGTTACCGTACGTTTCAGCTCCCACACACCGAAAACCCAGAAGTGTTCCAGTTTTCGAATGTTTTCCAGAAGCCGAACGTCCAACGCAGCTTCCACTTGAGTGCAGGAAGCTCCTGCAGCCAATCGGAAGCCGTGCCTCGGTTGTCGGAACATTTCAGAAGCCAAATGGGCTTCGGGAACGGATTAAGTTTGACAACCGAGGTTTGACTGTGCAGATCACACACTATTCCCCTTTTTGTGTCCACCCCAAACTGCAGGATTGCTTGGCGAGCCTACACTGCTAAGCCAAACCACCCCAGATCATATATGCCCATCCATCTCACACACAAAAATCAAGTTTAATGCCAAAAACAGCATAGTTCATAGGATGTATTCCATTGTTGCACCAAAACATACCAGGCTAATATAGATCCCTGGGGCTGCTATAGGGTAGGCAAAAAAGAAAATCTGAGAAACCCAACCACTCTGAGGCTTCCTCATCAACCAAGATATTTAGTGACCACCAGTTCCTGGTCACTCTTAAGAGTCTTGATCTTGGAAAGCATATTCAGCAGAAGTCCTAGCTAGTTCAGCCAGTCCAATAAAGTCTTGACAGGAAAAACTTGAGAACAGCTGTCTTCTTCCATGGTTATGCCTGGTCTAACCACCTCCTATCCTCCCCCAAAGCTGAGCATATATCCACCCAGTTAATGTTACAGAACCACATCCTTAAGCTTTTTTATTTCCATAAGATGCCCAAAGCTTCAGGTGCTGCTGTAGCCTCTCTCTCTGGTTACTTGGCAATGAATCAAAAACAACCAGCCATTTGAAAAAGTATTAATTTAATCGGCTTAAGGAGAAATTTCAGGAACATTTTGTTTGATTAATAACCTTTTATAATCTCAACATTATAACTGTAGTTGTACAATTACCTGTTCAGTATATGATAAACATGGTTTCCCGCTATGAGCCAAAAGCTCAATTGTATTTTTTTAGTTGGTTAGTATTCTAGAGGACAAGACTGGTGGATTTCATCTAGGGCCCCAGAGATCTTATGTTACATAAGTCTTTGCGTGTGCAATAATAATAACAAATATGCAGCTGTGGCGGACTCCAATTTGGACTGAGATTGCAGTGGTAGCAGAAGGGGTTAGCTCTCTACTGTGTTGCAGTCCAGACCCACATTGCCCATTTCACTGCCATTAAAAACCGCCACTATGATTCTAGTGCATAGACACACTTAACGTAACCTGGTTTGGTCCTTAGAATGAGAGGCACCCTCAGTGTAAAACAATTCCTAAGAAGGAAACCCAACTTTCCCACAGATTTCTGAACCAAAAAACCTATGGACTGGCAAGAACCTTGCATCTAACCTTCTAACCCCATTGCAAAGAGATGTAACAGTCAGTAACATGTTTTAGAGGTGTGAACTCTGCCAAAATAGAAAATGGGTTTTAGCCAGGACCTAAAGAGCTTTTTTAAGCACACAACACAGCTCACATATCACCCGTGGGATTCTAGATTCTCTTCCCCTTCACAACACCACAAACTGCTGTGGAAACTCCTAACAGATTTAAACAGATTGCAATTCTCCATGCATGCAAACACCACTCAAGGCCTCAGGTATGTGGAATAAGTTTCCTGGTTCTTTGGATCCTGCCCATTACTGTGGCATTGGAGTAAAACAGTATATGAAAATATGGCCAACTGTGCCATATTTCAAACAGAATTATGCTCTGCCCAGGTATCACACTGACGGTTCAGCTACAATGCTCTAATTTTAAACAGATTAAAAAATCCTAGGAATCCAAAGAGTTACACTATGTACGTCCTGTGGGATTTGAGTCACTCCTTATTTGAAGACACTCACAGCATTGCGCTGGGAATTCAGATTTGCCAATCAGCATGCAGTGGTGTGTTGTTTTTACACATTCCCTACTTAAAGCAACCAAGAAAGGCTCTGCTTCACCAGTTTAGCATTCAATGAGAGGTTCCAATGGTTTTAGCAAGCTCACAGAATCTCTAGGTCACCCCTCTCGTTTGCTTCTGGTCAGATGGAAAGGGGGCATGGAAAGCAGTGCGGCATTTTGCAAGCCAGCTCCTCCCTACCATGAGGCACTGCAATACTGCAGACATCTTGAACCTTCAGCAAAATGGTCAGGAGGGTTCAGATTATGGCCAGGCGTCCCATAGCCAAGTGTGTGCCTCTAAAATAGTTTTATACCTGCCTCCATTTCTGGTCAACCTTTAGCACCACACTGGATGCTGATCTGGAGGGTTCCCTGCCATCTCTTCCCAGATGTCACTCCTGAAGGCCAGAAGAATGCTGGCGTTGTGTATGGTTGCACATATATGGTCCTTTGGAAGCCTAGTCAAGAGTGAGTGATTCAAGCCTTACAACTTCAGTGAAAGATGGTAGGATGTTGCAACTCACCATTAGAGAAAGCTAAATGGATCTTCTTGCGTATCCTTCACCAATACTTTTGGCCTTGTTGGTGTGTCATGAATACACTGTAAATAGCTTTCCATTTGAAAATTTTCACTTTTTAATGAGCATCTCAGTCTTTTGAATTAGCACTCACACACTTGCATATATTTTACAGGTGCTCTTGCTAACGCTCCAAACAATTTAACCATTTCAACAAGGAAGAAAACGAAATAAGGTCTAGCAAAATAGACGTAAGTAAAGCAATTTACAATATGTTCACAGTAATCTGCATTGTATCTTTTCCCTCAAAACCTATCCACTTCTTGCAGCTCCCCCCAGTTACTTCATTAGACAGGACAGTGTGAACAAGACACAAGTTTATACTTCATGATTTGAACACTCCTTGTCATCTATTTATCTATAAACTTATGAAAAATATCCCCATAGGGCATTTCCCTGTGCAATTTTCAGTAACAAAGGGTTAGGAAACCTATAATAATTAAGTAAATCAATTAAGCACCATAAGTGAAACTACACATTTGGAAATAGAATAAACTTGGTCAGAGCAAGCAAAAATAATCAGGAAATTAAACTTTTGCTATCAAAAAGGCAATTTTATTCCCTGAAACAAACATCTGATCCTAGATATGGTGCTCATTAGGCACATGAAAGCACTCTTTTTTTTCCTATCAAAAACAAAACTGAGTACCCTGGTGTAACCAGATTGTTGCCAATGAGGATACCTTGTACATGGTTAAGAAACAAAAATCTTAATGTTGTGCTCAGTCTTAATGTTTACTATAGGTACAGACTTTAGTAGAGAGTAATTGTTCAAGACTATCACGCTGCAGTTTTTTTTTAAAAAAAACCCCTCTTGTGGATTAAATTTTTAAAAGGACTATCTGGATTGCTTTCTTGAGTTCTGGTAAGACCAAGAGCAAACTGACAATCGTCATGATGAGATACTATGCACTGGGTCTGTTTTGAAGGTGCTTTAGGGCATGAATGCAGTAGCTATGATTTGACCATACATTGCTTTGAGTTGACATGCTGGGTTAAGATTAAATAGCAAAAATTTAGTGGAGATTAGAACAGGATGTTTAACAGATGTATTCAGACTTCACATTTGTTACCAATTGCTAGCAGACATTAACATAAATGTTATTTTGGGGGGCAAGTGTCACAATTTCAGATATTTTTGTTTAAAGTTTTTTCAGATATATATATAGAATAAGAACTGGTGCCGAAAAATGTAGGTATTTATAGGCAGGGTTAAATTATTTTAACAATTCTAGGGTAGGTTTCATTCTAATGCTTTCTGATACTGTTTAGAAAAGCATGACATTTTATTTTTGTGGACTAAATGATTACACTCATAGCTAGCAGTCAAAATTTAAAATAGACTGTTTCAGAATTGAAATGGCCGAAACTCCAAATTACACTTCTGGAGAAGCAGAATTAACAGGACCATTTGTCTACTTGGGAAATTTTGCCCTGTAAAAGAATCAGCAGGGCAAAATTATGAAAGCACTATACTTTGTTTAACAAAGATAAAGTGTGTTTTTCTGTATTTAAAAATAAATGTTTGCTTTTTGGAGTCAGTAAGTATTGTTCAGAACATAAAGTTACAAATGCTATTGAGACTACACTTTGTGAACTAATGCTTTCAGTAATACCAGATAGGGGGAACTAGGAATCCAAAATTATTTTCGGGTTTTGTTTTTTTTTAAAAATTGCAGCATGGCATAAATTTCATTGCCTGTTTGTTTAAAATTTCAATAGAAAAGCTGTTTTATAGAAATATAAACCCATTTTTCATCTGCTTCTCAGGAGTGCGGCTTTGTCAAGAACGTCTCCTATGACAGAAACATTTAGTATCCGCCTTAGCTATTCTTGCACTATAGCAGGGGAAGCCATCCAAACAGGTTATCGGTTAGATTGACATACTTTGGGCTGGTTGTGTGTGAGAAATGTTTTGGAGTACTCTGTGGGACGTGTGCTATGAGTAAATTGTATGATCACATTTAACTGAAGAAAATTAAAGATGTAAGGAGTAAACAGCTTTCAAATTGGGTCCACGCTATATCTGGATACTGGGATAGCCATGAGACTCATAAACGATCGCACTTTTTTTTTTTTGTAATTTCACTTTGGATAGTAACCAGGCTTATAAAAGGTTCCTGTTTCCAAAGATGTTATTGGGGTCCACAAATTGTTTGACAGATTTCAGCATCCCATAGCCAACATCTGAGATGCTCTCTTTCAGCCACTGCTTCCGTAACTTGCCCACTGGAAAGAAAAAGGGAAGGGGGAAAAAAGTCTTTAATATTCACCATAATAGCAGGAGCCAATCAATCTTGTGACCATGAATGAACAAACACTGGGTGATAAATGCTTTTATTCAAAAATGAGAAATGTTTTGCTTTATTTGATTTATTGAGCCCACCAGACTATCAAGCTCATTAAGCTCGATGTACTCCCAGAGGAAGCCTGTGTTCCACACTGCCTACTCTCTTTACAAAGTATGAAATTTAGATAAAGTTTAGGCCAAGATGGTGCGTCACATTAAAAATTAAATTAAAGCTGCACATATTTTGAACGCTGTGAGCAGGATATATTGAGATACGGCAAAGGAAACACCAATCCTAAGGCTTACTCTTTTTTAGATATACAAAAATATGTAGGCTTTCATACAAAGAGGCTTTTTAAATGTTGAGCACTTAAACATGCACAAAGTGGATGCAGCTGCAGGAAGTTACTAAAAGAAAATAATCCAAAAAATCTGGCTAACAAGCCAGGAAGCACGTTTCTCACAAAAGTGGGTGGTTGAACTTAAGGCTGCAATCCTATAGCCTGGAAGGATGTCCCCACTGAGCTCAATGGAACTTACGTCTGAGTAAACATATATACGATTGTGCTGTTAACTATGTGTACAACGAAGATCGCCATGACAGTTGCTGGACTTTTGTGCGACTTAGTACTCATATTGCCTAGGATATCAGAACTCAGTTTTCTGACTTCCAATGATAATATATTTATTTTATTAATTAAAATTATACCCCACCCTTTCTCCCCAAGGGCGACCGATAGCAAGTGATGAAACAATAAAAACAATTCAAATAGAGTTGTGGGTCCACAACATTCGAACATAAAAGTACAGATTTTTCTTTTATTAACCATCAGTTGTATCTTTTAATGGCTGTTAATTACTTGATAATTAATAATTAAATAATTAAAATACTTAAGGCAGACACCCATTTGTATTTGCTAGCTTCAACCAGGGCTCCGTTGGGAGGAAGGCCGCGATATAAATGTAACAAACAAACAAAGGGCATGATCCATTTGTATAAGGCAATATGCCACAGCCCCTGCCTCTTCCACGTATTTGCAACTAAATTCAACCCATCTTGCATGGCCCATTCTACCTAAAGTGTCGTTCAAATAATTAATGATGGGGATTACCAAAGGAGAGCAGAGCATTTTTGTTTCTTCTCTCTGAGGAATACAAACCGTGTTGCAGAGCTGACTGAACAGCGAAGGCTAGGAGAAAAAAAAGCCTGATCTGTTTTCTAAGCGTTTGGCAAAAGCACAAGCCAATTATTGGCATCAAATTGATATGGCAACCTCAAACGCATAAGCAGCGTGGTTTGGAGAGAGTATGGAAAATGCACGTTTCATTAGAAAAAGATGGGCCTTTTCCTGTGACCATATTCCTATTCTCGATTTGGCAAGGCTGACATTCCAAGGACGGCAGAGATCTCCCAAGTCCAACCACCCACTTTCCAGTTAGAGCTAAAGAGACAATGAATAGTCTATGCTATTATCCGCTATTATCCGTAATATTGTTTCGGCGAACGTATCCTGTGGTTATGGATGTAATTGTCTCAAGAAGACCGAAAACAACTGGTCCAACAAGATGGAGCACATTAAAGCCACAGCAGGATGTCCGACAGCTAGCATGCCTGTCTTTCCCCCACCTCCAGTAATAATGCAATTCCACGAGGGACTGAACTGATCTCTCAGCCGCTGCACCAAACAGCCATTGCATATTTAATGAAGTCGCTCACCAAGTGCTTGAAAACAGAAGGTGCTCGGAGTGCATCATTAGTTCTGTCAGAGTGATAATTTACACATCTATCTTGTCACATTTTCTATGCTTTATACTTTTGCAATAATAAATCTAACATACATTTGATTAGCGAACCGGAAAGCCAAGCGGGGGGGGGGGGAGAAGCCGTACAGCGGACACTGGTGGTCCTTTATGAACGCATTTGATGATAAAAAAAATTAACCCCTTTGTTCCATAAAGTTACAAAAGCTGTGTGTCCTTAGCGCTTACCGCAACTATGGCTAACCAAGGTTTCGTTTAAAAAATGGAGCAACACCATTTTGTCTTCCTTGAGGAACAAAGAAAGAATATTTGAATCAGACGGCTGGCCGGTGTTTTCGGCCTGCAGGGAGACTTTCTCATTCCTACCTGAACATGCCAAAGATTCTTGCATGCACAGTAAGTGCTCTACCACTGAGCTAGAGATATACAAACTTCCTGTCCACCTGGCTGCATAAATCCATGACTTCTCAGTGAATACGTTCTACTAGCAAACTCCCTTGGACCATTCTGGGATAGCTGATATGTGATGGCTATTTCACAGATCCAAAGTATCTGTTCATGCAGCAGTCACTGGGTGATTGACATACGCAAGTGTCAACCAGCATGAAGGATTCATGCTGTGTGCCTTTAACCTAGATCTGCTTCCGTCTTATAGGCTTTTTGCCTGCAAGTCAACCTGTAGCATAGTAATTGAGTATTTTTTTGCAATAATTAGTGTAGAGCCTATCGTGACTGACAGGCTGCATTTAGGCTTATTTGCAGTCCTGACCAGTTATCCATTGCAATACTTGCTTTTCACCTGCCTCTTAATATCATTAGCTGGTCTGCTCTGATGTCATAGTTAGGTGACTTGAGACTCTAAACTACAATTGTTGGTTTGAAAATGCACAACCACCATTTGTTCAATTAACCCATAAATATCACTTAAATGGGGGGCAATGGCTTTTAACCACAACCTTGTGTGCACAAATCAGCTGAGCAATCTGTTCAGTGGAAACAGGCACAAAATGATGAAGCCTAAGACATTTTAATCCAGGCATGTCCAAAGTCCTCCTTGGGGGCCTAAGTCGGCCTGCCAGTCTGTTTAATCCAGCCCCTGTGGCAGTTTATTTCCTGGGGTAAAATCCTAACAAAACCTCAACAACTTCAATTCTTAAAAAAGGTCAACATGGCCCATGTTGGCCGGCCCTCATGGCCCATCACTTCATCAAATCTGGCCCTCTTTCGAAAAAAGTTTGGACACCACTGTTAATCACTAACAGTATTTAAGAACCTAGAACTTTTGGTAGATTTTTGAGAGCCTCTTCACCACACATGGTGTTTTCCTTCTGGGCACTTATACTCGTAATACTCCAGGATCATCAATGAAAATGTGTTATAACATTCTGCTAGGTTTAGCATAATCTGAGGGGTGCAATTCAACATCAAACTCTTCCAATCTGTGCAAGCACTGCAGCTTGCCAGACTGTTCTAGGCATTGTCCCAATCCCTTCCCCAAGCCAATTTTGGGAAGGGGCAGGGAGGAGAGGACTATTGCAGAAGTAGAAGTCCTTGCTCCTGGCTTCCACTGATGGGATGCTTAGGTGAATCCCCAGCACATATCTGTAGACTGGTACCAGCGACTGGCAACACTGAGCAGCCTGTGGCTAGAAAAAAGACTTGCTAATGCAAGACTCAGACATGGAAAGGTCCGCAATCCACACTCCCCTGTTTTTCTGGCATTTTGGAGAATAGTGATGAGGGCATGGAAGGGAAGAAGAAAAAGTCCAGACTGGCTCTACATGGGAGGGTGGAAAGTACACCCTAGTTGCCCCAATCGATGAAAATATTCTCCCACTGGATGGAGAGGAGAACATATCAGCGCCTGGACCATTGGATGGAAAAAGGTAAGGAGAATTTCGCTGAACATTTTGCTTCAAGCCCTTAGTTGACACTGCATATTCATTATGCCATGTTCTCTCTATCATTAGCTCTTGTTGAAGGCTGGCATTCAATGAGTTTTAGATTAAATGAGCTACCTATATACTTAATCTTTTTACTGCTCTTCGTTGGTTTATTTGTGAAGTTTTTTTTAAAGCAACTTCTCTTAAGTGTCTCATGTTTTGTTTCCACAGCAGGTGGCTGCTCCTCAGGAACGTGTCCCTTAGAGTGAACAGTTGCTGCATGCGGAAATGGTAACTATTTAAGTTTCTAGAATAAACTCTGCTGTATAAACTATTCAGTCCCTTCCTTAAAACAACAAACACCATGAAGATTGAATTAAACAGGCTTTATATTCCTTATAGCCCCAAGTCTCAGACTACATCTGTTTTGTTTGATACACAAAACCGGAGTTAAAATAGCTCCATTTATCACAACATGATTGTAGGCAGACTAACCAGGCTGTCTGTTTCCAGATAGTGAAAGCAACTGTTATTAATCACAATTATAGGGCAAACACTGAAGAGGAATTGCATCAATATTCTTCCTCACAGAGGAACTAAAAAGCAATGCTGGGAATGTCATGGGAAGGCCTGAAGGTCAGTAAATAATAATATTTTTTTTAAAAGGATACAACCAGTTTAATCCTGAACAGTAAACTCCAGGAACATTAAGATACACAGGAGGAATTCAACACACAATATTAGACCAGATCACCACAGAAACGCCATTGGCAAAGCGGGGAAATGGGAGTTTCAAGCTTGTTTCGTCATGTGCTCTACGCCATAGAAGACAATTGCCACCATTGTTTTATTAATTGCCTTCTAAACAACCATCTCAAGGCGATTTACAAGATGGAGGGGGAAAGCACCCAATGTGCCGGGATTGTAGCCATTGACTTCATAATTCCTTGTACAGTGGTATCTCGGTTTTCGAATGTAATCCCTCCTGGAAGACCGTTCGACTTCTGAAACATTTGAAAACCGAGGTGCAAAGGGCGGTCTGCCAAGTCAACAGAGAAAAGTGTGAAAAACAACAGATACGCAGCAGAAGCATTTACTTCCGGGTTTTCGGCGTTTGAAAACCAAAACGTTCGGCAACAGAGATGTCCGAAAATCGTGGTACCACTGTACACCATTCTAGTAAATTCTCCCACGTTCAGTTTTTGCAACGGTATTGCATGCCATATTTCTATCTCTAGGACCAGGACAGGCAACCGTAAGACATTTTGCATATAAAAAGGTAAAGGGACCCCTGACCATTAGGTCCAGTCGTGACCGACTGGGGTTGCGGCGCTCATCTCTCTTCATTGGCCGAGGGAGCCGGCGTGCAGCTTCCGGGTCATGTGGCCAGCATGACTAAGCCGCTTCTGGCGAAACCAGACCAGCGCACGGAAACGCCGTTTAACTTCCCGCCGGAGTGGTACCTATTTATCTACTTGAACTTTGATGTAATATTTTGCATATACTTATATATTTATCCTGATTCATAGAATCATAGGATTGTAGAGTTGGAAGGGACCACCTGGATCATCTAGTCCAACCCCCTGCAATGCAGGAATCTTTCACCCAACATGGGGCCTGGACCCACGACCCTGAGATTAAAAGTCTCACGCTCTACCAACTGAGCTATACTGTTCTCAAACATGTGTACAGAAATTCTCTAGGCTCAGCCTGTTGGGTCTCATCATGTTTCTGGTGTGTGGTGCTCTCTGCTGTGGTGGTCAGGCTGTACCCTTGAAGGGCCAGAGGACCCAATAAGACAGCAGGGGCAAGACACCCACATGGCCTAACCCCAAACTGAATACTGCAGCCTTGGAACAGTCAGTGACGGCTTAGGCAGCTTCGGGTATACTACTATCTTCCTTCCCACTACCATACGGATAGCACAGGGTTGATAGAGAACTGTCAGACCACTGGTTTTAGCATACTGCAGTTATAATGATGGCATATAGGAAAGGAGGGAGACTAGTGCCAACTAGCTACAGATGCTACCGTATCAACTTGTGCTCAGAAACCATTAGGGAGTCCGTGCAGATCCAGAAGCACTGGCTTAATGTGCTCCTGAGCCACCTTCCTGACGCAGAAAGGTTTTCATCGGCAGCCCCTTGGCTGGGGCGCAGGAGAATATTTCTTCTGACAACCACTTAAAATAGGCGTTATCTAGGGTTGGAAGTATCGGTCTATTTCTAATCACTTAGTTTCACACATGTGTTCAGTCATATGTCTGCTCCATCCCGTTTTCTACTACTTAACTGTGTTGCAACATTTGGAGAAGTGTGCAATCTGAAGAATAGCTATGCGTTATGGATCTGGGTATTAGCACATGAAATGCAAATCAGATCAGTTCGCTTTAAAACATGGACTGAACCAAGCTCAGCATCATCGCAGAAGATAACCACATCAAAACCTTGAAAGTCGTGTTCATAATAGGTCTCCCAAAGTTCTCCTGCATAACACGAGTAGCACCACAATGCTAGGTTTAACCGCACAATGCTAGGTTAACCACAATGCTAGGTTTAACAAAAACAGGTACACTGTTTATGTAAGCAACTGGAAACATTACCTCCATGATGATGTGACAGGCTTCCTCCGTTAGCAAGGATTTCATCTCTAGCTGACATCTAAAGAATGCAAATAACTTAATTAGTCACTAAGCTCAAAGTTGATTTGGCAATCTGGACAATTACACGCCTTTCATTCGTTTTAAATATTGGCAAACAAACAACACAATGCAATCGAGATTATTTACACATTCTGCCAAGTTTAGAATCGGCTTGCATATTGCAAAATAGGAGGGTGTATCCCACCCTCCCATTGGGGGATAGGTTTCCACCACACGTTACTGGAAGTCCACATAAATGAAGGAGGTACAACTCCTTTCAAAGGCTGGCAAAGATAAGGAAGCATCTCAGCTTGGAATATTGACATATACAGGGTTGGAGCCATCTACAAAAAGGGCTCCTTCTGTTCGTGGAATTGAGGAAGAGGGTGGGGTGGGGGACAACAATTCCACACTTATCCTTGCCGACCTTGTTCTGTAGGTATCGCCAGCCCTCTCTGGAGCAGCTTCTCGGGGGGGGGGGAGCAATCGGCAGAAACTGTTCCCCACTTTTTCCTGGTAGGAGGATCTCATGAGCGGAACCTCTGACCACAAGGCGTCTGCCTCTAATTTGCAGTTTTACTTGTTATAGTGAATGAGTTACTACAGCCAAGTATTACATAACATGAAAGCGACAAAGAGTTACAATTACCTCTATTTCTTCATAAACGTGAACAGGGTCGCTTAATCCTCTGTAGTTAAAGCCCAAATAGAAATAGACACAGGCGCCAGCATCGTAGGTCTGCGTCACCCTGTGAGTTGTTTTTTTAATATATAAAAAGGGTATTTGTTAGGTCACGTACCACACTGTTCTATACATAACATAAGCCGACCCTGCTGAATTAGGCACATTGAGTTCAGCATCCTGTTCTCACCGTGGTTGACAAGATGGTGGTGGTGGGGGTAGCCTGCAAGGTGGACATCAGCACAAGGGCGCCCGTCCATCTGCAATTCCCAGCAACCGGTATTCAGAGGCCCATCGCCTCCTACTATGGAGGCACAACATAGCCCTTGGGGCTAGCAGCTGCTGATAACCTTTGCAGAATCCTCTTTCCAAGATACCTAATTGGGTGCCCATCACCTGTAGGTGCAAGCTCCATGATTTAACTATGCACTTGCTTTTTTCTTCCAACATTCAGCTTCACGACATGCCCAAGAGTTCTAGTGTAATGAGGGAGAAAAACCTTTCTAGATCTGCGTTCTCCGTGCCACGTATCATGTTATGAACTCCAATCCCCAGGACCGTTTTGCCCTTGCCTGAACCTTTTCCAACTCTACAATATACTTTTTGAGGTGCAGTGACCAGAAAGGCACAAAAGCTGCCTCTTAAAAAACGGAACCCACAATTTCGTTTTAACACATTAAAATACTTGAGGTGCAATTACGGGGGGGGGGGGGAGGGAGTATACCACAAGAAGAAGAAGGTGAAGAAGAAGAAAAGGAGGAAGGACTATGCTTGAAGTTTAATTGTACACTCCTGATGAAGACCACTATGGACCATAGCTGTCAACTTTTCCCTTTTCTTGCGAGGAATCCTATTCGGAATAAGGGAATTTCCCTTTAAAAAAGGGAAACTTTGACAGCTATGCTATGGACAATGGGAAATAAATACAAGATAGCTTTACTAGGTAAAAATGGGCATCAGTACTCACTAAAAGGGCCAAAAGGGGAAAAGTAGCAACGCTATGAGAAATACAATTCTGATTTTTTTGACCTAGGTATACTTCTACTTCACCAATGCCATAATGTACACACTGTTACACTTTGGAATTAGCATATGTACAGAAAAAAAATGATAAGCCACCAATCCTGGCATTGGGTAGTGGGAGAGGGTGGATCTATCAGACAATATGGTCGTGGTGTCCCAAAACAAGATCTGGCCCTTTCACCCCCCAACCACCTCAAATCAAAACAATATCAAGACTGCTCCTGCCCTTAATTTAGACTGATTTCATTCAATTTCATAGGCAGCTGAAATTTAATGTGTCTTACCGACAGGAAACGAAAGGTGGGAACTGAACGCCTCTTTCTTTGCATTCTCTTACTATTCTTTCCTTCACATTTCGGCAAAGGTCTAGAACTCTGAAACAAAATATAGCAGAGAAGTCGAAGAAATGTCCACTTATTTTGTGTACATATTTATTTAGAGATTTATGTGAGATTTACATTGCATTTCAGTAGGGTTTTTTTTTAACAATTTATGTTAAATTGAAGCACATTTTGTTTCGTTAAAAGAAATGATTCTAAGTCTGTTGTGCAATTTTATCTGTCAGCACTGTAAGTTTATAAGTGTTAAGGAGCCAAGGTTAAATTCAGCTTGTTTGCTTTAAAACACAGGTTGCCAGAAAAGAATAAAGTTTAGCAGGATTCTAAATGCAATGTTTAGACATACTAACGTTTGCAATGCAAAAAGAAAATGGCTGAGTTTACAGAGGAAAAGAAATGTAAAAAGTCACATAGCTCTCCAGGACTAATGGGCTGCTCCTGGTGGAGGAAGAGTTTTGAACACAGCGCTGATTTTTGTGTGTGTGTGTGCGCGCGCGCTGTATTTCCTTGTTTCTCTAAAACATTTCCTTCTTTGTTACATCTTTGTGGCATCTATTGCAATATTTTGTCCAACAGCTCACCACCTAGAAATCCTCTTCTAGTTAGGTGTATCTACTGCATAATCTGACAAAGCAGATACTGTATATTTCTGCCAAGCTCCTCCTAACGTTAATCCTGCAACAGATAACATGGCCTACACTTACTTTGTATTTTTTTTAAATAATTTTTATTAACAGGCCAATCACATCACATTATCCAAACCACATTAGTTCCAAACTATACAGCCAAATTGTAAATTTTGTTGGGGGTGCCCATACATCAAGCTCCGCACGAGTCCAAAACTCCGAACGAGTCCAAACATCACTTATATTACTGCTTTAATTAGACAGTTCTATCCAGTTCAATCCAGATAGTCCTTTATTACTTTCTTTCTCTTCTTGTTGTTATCGTATATTCCTTTCTTTGCGATCTCTGATAATTTTCACAAGCAGATTAGCAGGCATCCTCTGTGTGGGTTTTGTACTCTTCAAAGATCATATCGCCCAGGGACAGCCTCTGTTCAACGCTTCCATAAAAAAAATTAATCTTCGGTCTGTCCTTTACTTTTCTCAGGCTTGCCAAATAAATCAAATGAGTCAGGAGGCTCTGTCAGGTCAAGTTTGTGTTCCAACATTCCTTCTCTTTCGAATAATCCTGATTCTCCTCCCCTTGTCCTTCTTTCTCCGGCAAGCCTGTCTTGGCGAGACGCCATTTTTTAACTGCGTCATAAAAATTTTCCTCATTCTCACCGTTCACCAATCCTCTCTCCTGTTATAATCCATCCCACACAGTTCTTAAATTCCTGCTTGTGATTAATAAAAACGCAACGATCTTATTTCTATCTGGGGTGAAGGGTTATTAGTATCACATCGTACAAAGGAAAAAAAGTTTTTTCCTCCACCCCCCCTTCATTCCAAACATACAGTCTCCTAGTGGTGATTCATCAGAAGATTTACTTGTCCATCCGTCACTCCCGGTCACAGAGATCCATAAATCAGCAGTCTTATCTCTCAAACATTACTTGATATATGTGCTTCAGCTTCAATCCAATCATATGTTTCCAATTATAATTCCGAGCTGAAGCTAACCAGCACGCGCTAATTGGAATCGGCGTCAGGAAGATCTGACTTCACCGAGGGCTCGTGCCAAGTGTTCGGCAACCCCATCTCTCGGATCAGGGGGTGCATTGTGAACACCGCTGGCAAGGCAGCGCCCCCCCGTCTTCTGGGGGGGTAGGAAGACTGCATACTTCCCATAGCAGCCCCTTAATTACCTCGTATGGGTCAGAGAAATGTTATTGTCGGCCATCTTCCAACGCGCCACCTGGTGGCCCCTCTGCCTACATTTACTTTGTAAATGCTCCTATATAAGATGTCGATATAGGGACACGGGTGGCGCTGTGGGTTAAACCACAGAGCCTAGGACTTGCCGATCAGAAGGTCGGCGGTTCGAATCCCCGCGACAGAGTGAGCTCCTGTTGTTCGGTCCCTGCTCCTGCCAATCTAGCAGTTCGAAAGCACGTCAAAGTGCAAAGATAAATAGGGACCGCTCCGGCGAAAAGGTAAACGGTGTTTCCGTGCGCTGCTTTGGTTCGCCAGAAGCGGCTTTGTCATGCTGGCCACATGACCCAGAAGCTGTACGCCGGCTCCCTCGGCCAATAAAGTGAGATGAGCCTCGCAACCCCAGAGTCGGTCACGACTGGACCTAATGGTGAGGGGTCCCTTTACCTTTAAGATGTCGATGGGCATGGCTTGCAAACTGTTTGCAAGTATTTCACGTGAACTAAATCTACATTTGTTGTTTCAAAACTGCCATGATCCTGAAGGAAGTCAAAGTTATGTAATGTACGGTATAGATACAGAGAAGCTTCTCACAAAGGGAAGGCCCAATCCAGAAAATTGTGTTTATGCATGTTGTAGGACATGAAAATTGTATTTGGAAATTGATAACCGTTAAGAATAATTATGCATGTGGAACATGAAGAAGCTCTAGATACTATCTGAGCCCAAAGACCTCCTAGAATTGTAGAACAATAGGACTAGATTTGGATAGTCTATGGAAAACAGTTATGTATATAGGAAGCCATTCACTTGCTTATCAGCTGAGAGAAATCAGCTGTTTTCTCAATATATTCTTGGATAAAAATCAGTGGCTTGTTTAATTCAACAAGAACCCTCATTAGAAATTCTACTGCTAAAGTTGGTCACACATGGCCTGAAAAATGTATAATCTCACCTTACTAATTTTGGAAAACCTTAGTGACCCTTTTCATATGGTGCACAGCTTTTACAACTTCAGACAATGCAAAAACAGAAAATGCACTGATTTTACCTGTCCCAGGGAACAGACGTTTCAAACGATTCTCCTATTATATAATGATCCATGCCCAGGTCCTATAGAGGAGATAATTTGCAGATTAGAACTCCTAAAGTTATGTATCTATAGGCCTCGAACCTGCTATTTTGTATAATTACAGAACCCAAAACATTCAAGTGTATTAATATTCTGAGAATATTAATTTGTCAAAGAGACCTAGCATACTCCCAGGACCTACTGCATAAATTTGTTTATTCTAACAACTACTTCAAACTGCTATACAGTGGTGCCTTGCAAGACGAAATTAATTCGTTCCGCGAGTTTTGTCGTCTTGCGATTTTTTTGTCTTGCGAAGCACGGTGTCGGGAAAGTTTTGGAAAAGCTTCAAAAACCTCAAAAAGCTTTAAAAACCTCAAAAAAGGCTACCACACCGCGTTCTATGAGTTGCTCCTCGAAGTCAAGTCGCAACTGTATTAACGGTGTTAAGAAAAAGGAAACAAACTTGCAAGACGTTTCCGTCTTGCGAAGCAAGCCCATAGGGAAAATCGTCTTGCGAAGCAGCTCAAAAAACAAAAAACCCTTTCGTCTTGCGGGTTTTTTGTCTTGCGAGGCATTCATCTTGCGAGGTATCACTGTAGTCTTTTCAGCCTTTAGACATCAGGAACACAGCTGACATGTTATCAGGTCAAGTCGTGTTTTTTAATCAGGAAGAGATTTGCCACAGAGTATTTAGTAGGCAGTACCACAGTCCCCAAAGCAGACTAAGTGATGCACTGGGCTTTGAGAAGGAGGCGTAAGGCTCTGCCAGGATCCTAAAGCCCCCCTATCTCCTTCCCCAAACTGGAAAAGCACTAATTGGGCTTTGGGAAGCAGGAGGGACGACTCTAGGACCCTGTCTTCCCCTCACCTCTCCTCGATAACAGCGCAATGGTGGGGTCAGATCTGCTGCTGGAAGCAAATGGCCTCACCTCACCTCATTGCTGGCCTGTTCCTGAACAGCGGCTATTGACCTTCATATATCTACCTAATGAGATGATCAGGGCTAGGTAGCTGAGAGATCTTTGTCCAAGCTGCTTTGGGGTGGGGTGGGGGGAGAGAATGTGGATAGATCTGGATTCAAACTTCCTCCTCATCTAATCCTTCCCAAACAACTAAAGCTGACCGATTCATTTGTCATGGGGTCGGTGTGCATCCTGTAGGCAAAACTCTAACTGCACAAATTTTTAGGAAGTGTAACAAGAAAGCAGAGTAGCCCAATATGCATGTTGTTGTTTTGTATGTGAAAAAACTCTGAACCATTAAAATATGCAACACCTCCCCCCACCTTGTTTCATATACACAACAGCACAGTACATAATGGGAAACAGAGTTTTTTAAAAAATAAATAAAGTAAGAGACCTACCCGAAGGTAAGCAATGACAAATGTTAGCATGTATCCTCTCTGTCCATTGTCTTCTCCAGCCGCCAGACCACTATAATTTAAGGACAGTAAAATATCAAATTACATCAGTTAATCCTATGGCATGAAATGGTTTACAGCAAGGTTGTTTCCAATCAAGAATTTAGGCAGGTAAATTAAGTTCGTTTAAAATGCCCCGTTTTAATTGATTTTTATGGAAGCTGCTCTGGGAGCCATTTTGGCTGAAGACTGGGGTACAAATGCTCTAAATAAATACTATTAAGTTTAAATGTGTGTGTATTTGAGAAGCTGACCCAAAAAAATAACAGAGTGGCAGGACAGCCTAAACTCATTTTCTCTGAAGAAAAAATAAAATACAAGGCATGTAGGAACAAAATATCAAAGTGACAGGCAATCATATCTCATTTACTTTTATTATTTTAAAATTCAAGTAGCAACAGTCACCTCTACCCTTCTGATTCTTGCTAGTTTGGTAGGTTGAAAGAACAGGCACATCTAATTTAGATTTTGTCCAGCTTCCCTTCATAATCCTCATTTAGTTTTAAAAATAGAGCTCAGGCCTCCTGGAGATCCCAAAGAGACAAGAGGGAGAGATTTTTGCTACCTGGCAGTATGAAATAAGACTACCTAACTTCTTTCTTTCTTTCTTTAGCGATCACTCATAGCCAAGTAAGATTGTCTTTCCATACACACGGTTTTAACAATGAGTCCGTAAGTGACTGTGGAGGCCAATTCTGGATCCACATGTCCTTCCACAGTGGGGACATTGGTTTCCAGGCAGAAGTTGATTGCGGTGTGGATTTGCCAAGCATGCCTTCCTTTTAGCACGTTTCTCCCTTGCGTCCTGAGTTTGAGCGTCTTCAAAGCCCAAGACACCTTTGGTAAAGGCTGTTCTCCAATTGGAGCGCTTGCAGGCAAGTATTTCCCAATTGTTGGTGTTTATACTACATTTTTTTAGATTTGCCTTGAGACAGTCTTTAAACCTCTTTTGTTGACCACCAGCATTACGCTTTCCATTTTTAAGTTCGGAATAGAGTAGTTGCTTTGGAAGACGATTATCAGGTATCTGCACAACATGACCAGTCCAATGAAGTTGATGTTGAAGAATCATTGCTTCAACACTGGTGATCTTTGCTTCTTCCGGTACACTGGTATTAGTTTGCCTGTCTTCCCGTAGGTGGAATCTTTTGAGGTGTTGGAGATGGAGGTTATAAGTGGTCCATGTTTCACAAGCATACAGTAAGGTTGGTAGTACAATAGCTTTGTAAACAAACATTTTGGTTACCCTGCAAATGTCCCGGTCCTCAAACACTCTGCACTTCAGTCGGGAGAAAGCCGCACTCACAGAGCTCAGGCGATGCTGGATTTCAGCATCAATGTTGGCTCTTTTGGAAAGATAACTGCCCAGGTAGGAGAAGTGATCGACATTTTCCAATGTTACATCACTGAGTTGGATTTGTGGTGCTGCAGAGGGGTTATTTTGTACTTGTTGGTGCAGCACATTGGTTTTTTTGGATGCTGAGTGATAGGCCAAGATTTTCGTAAGCTTCTGCAAAGTTATTTAGGATGGTTTGGCGGTCATCCTCTGAGCGTGCGAACACCATGTTGTCAACAGCATACTGAAGCTCTATGACGGAAGTTACGGTAACCTTACTCTTTGTTTTCAGCCTGCTCAGATATAGCAGCATGTGATAGAAATTGTGAGAGAAATGTCCGCTATTTTCAGCAGCATTTTCTTTTATTTAAGAGCTTTTCTCAAATACCAAATGGTAATGAATGAAAAACGGCATGCAGCTTCAACTCAGAGACCTCAGGGGCCAAGGAGAACACTTCTATGCAAACAGCATGTAAGCATGGTCTTTGTTACATGCCTGTTTCCCTCAAGTGAGGGGCCCCCCAGTGAAAACCGAAATGGCAACTTAGCCTGGCTGTGCTGCTGGCTATATAGGCACTTCACCTGCAAGCTGACTTTTGCGTTTTCAGTTTCACTGGCACATTTGAGGCAGAGAAAACTCTGAAACCCAACCAGGCATGTGCAGCCCGGCAGTGTTCTAGCTAGCCATGGGCAACAGCTGACAGCTGGGGCAACATGGTGGGGTATTCTTGGATAAGCTGATGACACTTTATCCCCTTGTTCTTCTGGCAGAAGAGCAAAGAGGTAGCAAGTACAAGGAAAACACCCTCTAGGTGGAACAAGCTGAGTTTTGGGGTTAGTAGCCAAAACAGCTAACAGTGGCTGTCTGTTCCAGTTCTCCTCGTCTTCTAGCTTCAAGGCTAGCAAACAGAAGAAAAGGATGATGGGGCAGAGATGTTTGACCAAGAATGCAGGACAGCTCCTATTTTTTAAGCTGCCAGGCTATCCTGTAATTGCTTAATGTTCACAAAGTATCTGTATTTCAGAAGGTGTTTTACTTCTGTCCCCTATCAGCCTGCCCCTTAAATCTCAATTCACTGCTTCTTGAAAGGACATTTTGGTGAGAATGGGAGGTTGAGCATTGTAACATGTCATTCAGATATTAGGTTAGTGAACCTGTAACGCAGAACATTTGCAAAGTGTCTGTTTTTCCCCATTAAACACAGTGATCTAAGTAATAATTTGCTTAAATGGGAAATAAAGTTGTGGCCCAGACAAATATCTTCACCGTGGTTTCATTGATTAGTCCTGTAATCAATCAAACCAGATGGACACAAACCACCCTATCATTACTCAGCTTGTTATTAAAGTGAAATGTTTTCTGTTCCTTTGTAACAGCACAGAGCAATCAGTGACAGGAGGTGGAATACATATAATTAATCAAGTTCTGTTGATTAAATACAATTTCCTTTTTAAAACAGGCTGGCCTGAGTCACAGCTTTAGTCAATAATGCACAGTATTAAGGTATAATGCTCAAAACAATGCTCTCCTTCAGTGTGTTAAGATTTGTTTGTTTAGTGTCACAAAAGTCCCTTTCGTGTGCTACAAAGAAAAGGAAATAGCCCTGACCTCAACTGGACTATGGCAAAATGTATTCAATTTCGTATCACAGTTAAGTCCCAACAAACATTTGTGCCCAAGCAAATTCAAATGACTCTCTTGTGTTTTCAGGTACATTTTTATGCACTAACCTCTTAGTTAATGTCTACAATTTCATTCTCACTTTCCAAAATGGTTTTGTATTATAGAAAAATGCATGATACCTCATGATTTCCATAAATTTTCATAAAAGGCCTCTGGTTTTCAGCTCTACAAAGATTTTGGACTTTTCAAAACATTGCTTAACTGTTAAGATATGAAGGTTTCATACCCAAATTTTGCAGCAATATCGTAAACTTGCTTTTCATGCTGAAGAACCTTCTCTCTGTCTCCCTCAAAAAGCAAGGTGGTGACACATAGCACATTGGGATCAAATCCTTTGAACTGTGGAAAGACAGGCAGCTCCATTATATGAAGGTAGTACAGCAAGATACCATTATTCATGTTGATCCACCATTTTAAGTCATTTACAATATATTCATGTTCCTAACTTATTTTGAACACAATACAACTCTTCTAAAGCTGATTCACAAGCATTTTAGCATAAACAAGAGGCATATTTCAAGGTAACATGGCACATATTTGAAAGTGTGATACTTAAGAGAAACGCTCAAGAGGAGGCCGTCAAGAGAACCAATCTGAAAATTACTTTTACAAATGCAAGCAGGGGGGAAAAGAACAACCAAAGTGTTGTAAAGCATCCATTATTTTCTATTCTGTAACCAATTACAACTACTGCCATGTGGATGTTTCTGATAATAAGTGAATCTTTATTCTCTGAACATGAAATGTCATTTTGAAACTTTCCAAGTTCAACAAACTTCTGCTACTAAAATAATGGAGGATACAGAATTAATATGTTGGCATCAAGATTAGCAGGAACAGCCTATTGGCGTGTATGGTTTCGCTATTTTCCTCCCCCAACCCTAATGGTAGAGGCCAACAAGTCAATGAAGAGATGTCTTACACACGCAAAAATATTTCTCATTCAGATAAATGCAGGAACTCTGACACCAGAAGTTCCCACCTCTCTTCCCCACCTGTGTTGTGCTACTAGGTAAAGGTAAAGGGACCCCTGACCATTAGGTCCAGTCGTGGCTGACTCTGGGGTTGCAGCACTCATCTTGCTTTATTGGCCGAGGGAGCCGGCGTAAAGCTTCCGGGTCATGTGGCCAGCATGATGAAGCCGCTTCTGGTGAACCAGAGCAGCGCATGGAAACGCTGTTTACCTTCCCGCTGGAGTGGCACCTATTTATCTATTTGCACTTTGACGTGCTTTCGAACTGCTAGGTTGGCAGGAGCAGGGACAATGGGAGCTCACCCTGTCACGGGGATTTGAACTGCCAACCTTCTGATCGACAAGTCCTAGGCTCTGTGGTTTAACCCACAGCGCCACCCGTGTCCCGTTGTGCTACTACTCTCAACTAAAACAGCTGGCAGATGCTGTTCTGCCATTTGCACCCTTAGACTCTGCACCAGTGTAGACATTAAGCACACATTTTTTTTTCTAAAATCCAGGTTAAGATTTGGTGTGGGGGAAGAAGAGAAGACCTAACATGCAATTTTATACAGTGTGCTTTTGCAGGCATGTGTGTCCAAAGCTATTAGAATCTGAATTAATTAGAGGCCGAGGATAAAAATCAAATACCTTTGTGATGTAGAATTTTTTCAACCCGTCCAGAAGCGATGTAAAAATTGAAGAAACCTGTCCTTTAAGAGCATGTCCTTGGCAAGAGTTAGGAAAAAGGAAAAAAAAATGTAAGACAACTATATTAATGGAGTTCAGAATTTTATTTGGAAATGTGACTGAAAAGCTGGAGCTTAAAGTTTTTTATTAGTAAGTGCTCCATTTCTTACCACTAACACTGTTGCAAGGGATTTATGGGAACCCTGCATGTTTAGGCATAAATGCAAGCAATCTGAAAACTCGGTGCAATCTGTCAAGTCTAATTCTTTACCTGCTTACAGAAGTGCATCAAAATAGGAGTCTGTGATTCTCTTTCCTACAGTATGACTACCTCTGCACCACAGAGAAGAGACGTATTTGCTACTCCCCAGGCCCCTGTCCATAAAGTCAGGTAGATTCCCTAATTTTGTTTGTTTAGAAGCCACTTGTATATTCATGCATTCAAAAGTTAATTTGGCTGTTTATTTTACAGATTACAAACACACACACACACCGATGGGAGAAACCTAGCTCTGAAGTTCTGTTTGTGGATCAGCTTTTCATCTAGTGGAGACATTCACGTAAGAGATTTTTCACAACTACTTCTGTAACAATCTTACACTTTGACTCAATGCTATCTATAGTAGAAGTGCTAGGAGATGTTTACCTAGTCTCAGATTATTTTCGCCTACATTATCTAGCTTTTGCTGACAAGTCAGAATGGGGTGGGAGATGGTATTTCACGCCCCCAATGCAACAAAGAACCCTTGTTCACTAAGGCTGCTCCCACAACTCTAGAACAATCAAATGCTCTTCTTCGTTAACTGCAGCCCGAAATCAACTTCCTCAGTCAAGCTCTGTCTGCCCAAAAATGTTCTAATTTTCTTAAAGAGAATGAACCAACAAAGTAGTGGTAGAAGGAAAGAGATGTAAGAATCACAAGACGGTTCTTTTTATTATTTCAACAAGCTTTTGGGGGAGACTGCTAGTACAATGACTGCTGCCGCACTTTATGGGGGTCTGTTTTTTGTCTTGCTTTTAAGCTTTCTCTCTTTAGGGACACCATCCAATCAAAGAAGCTGAAAAATAATGTGAGTTTTAATTGATTAAACCTACAAAAGTATGCATACTAATAAACAGAATTGAAAAACTAAGTATGCTCTGTTTTCAGATGATGCATGTGTGGAGAAACCTTTCTTCTTGTGCGAGAGAAGGTAGGAATGCCTCTAAGATAAATGAGACTATATATGTTTTAAATCACTTAAAAATGTGTTGTCTAATTAAGGTGCCGCTGATCAGTTGATCAAGAGGTTTTTAATTAAAGGGGGGGGAATCAATAAATTAAGACACTACAATCTTAATTTTGAAGAATGGTTTTGACTGCATTTGGATTTTATGTGAGTCACTGAGAGCCCAGTGCAGTCAGCAGAAAGATAGAAAATAATCAAAGTATCCATACTGCATAATCAACTCCATCTGACGTCAGTGATGAATGGCACAAAGGAATGAACTGATAAAACATTGGGATTAGTAACCAAGTACAGATCGTGCCCTCGTCCCTTTAAATTCTGATTTCAAATGTTGGGTTAGAATTAACCAAGTCTAGATTCAAAGAGGTCAAGCTCTTTGACTTTTTTCCTTGACAGCTGACAAACCAACTTATTTGCAAAAGCTGTTTGCTAGGCAGCAGGGGATACTCAAGAACCACAAGTCCAAAACTACCTTAGCCATGCAGAACTAGCTGAGCAGTTCTCTAGATATTGGTCACTACAATGAACCATGGTTACTGGCACCAAAGCTGGGAGAGGCAAAAATTGGAGAATGACAACGGAGTATGGGAAAGAGGGGGCACATTTTTAATTTTCAATCCCCTATCGCCAAGGTCACAAAATACCCGCTATCAGACCACAAGGTTTGGCGCAACTTTACAAAAGCAAATCATGAACAAAATTAGTAAAAACTTACCAAATTGAAATTGATTATTGTCCATAAGGCGAATGGATGCAGGAGCACATCGCTATAAAGAGACAAAGTTGCATGTGAATAAAGAACACCGATAGAAAGAAAAGCAATTGTGTAATTTTTTTTTAGAAAAATCTGGCATGGGATGAAATACAGTCAAATACTGAACCTCTATAAAGGCGTTACATCACGCTGTAAAAAAACACATTCTGTAATCTTAACACAGAGGCCCAGACTGATTAAGATTAATGTGGTTTGCAAAATTTGCATTGTATTACATTAGGTCAACATCTGGCCTTTGATAGCATACCCCCGTTAGTAGTCTGTCCAGCCTCAAAAACATACATTTAAGATATAGAACCAGCTCTCTATGGATCAATGCTATGTAAGGTTTTTAGAAACTACTTGGAACAATGGGGGAAATATTCAAATTTATTGGGGAGAGAGTTGGCGCACCTTCTAGGACCTACTAATAATGCCCTGTCATTGTTAAAAAGAGTGTGTTCCCCATGTCAATAATAAAATAGAAGAAATTGTAAGCAAATGGTTATGTGTGTGTGTGTGTGTGTGTGTGTGTGTGTGTTGGGTTGCTGACAATGTTAGTCATACTAAGAGGATACCCACTGAAATTAATGGAAATGACTGTACTCTGAGTAGAACTTAGCTGGATACAACCATTAACTGAGAAAGACAGAACAGAACTTATATGGAGTGCAAAAGATAACTGTGTGCAGACAGATGCACACACATTTTGTGTATGCCCAAGAAACTAGGTATTCTAACAAAGGGGGGGGGGACAAACAAAGACTGACCTATGGAAAAGGTACAGAATTAAGTTAATTTCTTATTTATTGGACTGACTGGGTAATATAATAAAGAGGGAGAAGAATGTAAAGAGCAACATTTTTACAATGAGTCATTTGTTAAATAAGGACACTGAATACTTTAACTGGCCCAGATCTCGCCCTGAACTCAGTATGCTAGTAATACAATTTCCCAAGCCCTTTTATGCCAATTTGTAAATGTTTTCAAGTTTGAAGCAATAGCTGCTGTCTAATTACAGCGGGGGGGGAGGATACTAAATCCAGGGAAGCAAACCAGAGAAATATAAAATCTTAACATTTGATTTAGCAATCTCCCAGAAGCTTAGTGGGAGATTTCCCCCTTAAGCATATTGCCCAGCCTCAAGAAAAAGATAGCAGAGCAGAGCATTAGCATGCCATCTAGTGAAAGCATTTTGATACTACTCTTTTTTATATAAATAAATAAAAAGTGCAATAAAACACAACTTGAAGATAAGGTTACTTTACCTGCTTTGCTACTTCTCTTAAACAGGCCACCCCTTTCTCAAAGTTTGGAAATACTATAGACCCATACTTTTGGTATTCAGGGATTGGTCGAATTTTTACTGTAACTTCTGTTACCACTCCAAGGGTTCCTTTATAAAAAGAGGGAAATGGTCATTTTGCTATTGTCGAAAAATTTATAAAAATCGTTTTGTGATTTAATAGGCAAAATTAAGAATCCCATCTTTGTTTATTTTGAAAACCATGCCCAATTCTTTAAGAAATATTTCCTATTCCAGAACTTCCAAACAGCAGTGTTCAGTTAGCGCAGTAATGTTCAGTTAATGCAGTATTTATCAAACTGTGAGGATTAGGTTTCTAACTGTAGAAATATTGCAGTTCGTAAGATTAAATATTGATATAATTTTAAAGTTCCATCATAATGTGAAGAAAGCTTTGCTCTTTCAACGTAGTGTAGTTAAAACTATGATATAAGCAGTGCTTTTTTTCTGGGGGGACGTGGGGGGACGCATACCCCTAAACATTTTGTGAATCCAAGTTTGGCCTCATTGAGGGGCAGTATTTCAATATGAGTAGGAAAATGAGAGTACCCCCTAAACATTTTTTTTAGAAAAAAAAAAGCACTGGAAATAAGCACCAAGGGCAAGTTATAACTAGTGTGCTAGGTGTTTTTCTTCCAAAAAGACCAATATAGAAAGAAATTTTTGCACTGTTTAGTATCAGGCAGAACATCAAAAGAGGCTTTCTCATATTTTGACAGCACCTGCCAATCATTTAAACAGAACAGAAAAAAAGTACTGGGAAACAAGGCAGCGTGTGCCCAGCCAACCAGTGGAAGTGTGCTGAAACAGAAAGAAACTGCAAGCAAACCAGCAGCTCTATAACTATGGCTGCCTTGTATGTTTGGTAGTCAAAATAGTCTGGGTTCTAATCTAGAACTAAGTCAATCTATAACTAAGTTTGGCACCATGCCCGAGCTACTGCATGTAGTAAATAAAATGGGTCAATGCACTACAACACAATTCTGAGTGCCTCAGAATTTCTTCATAGAAATGTATTGTGCATCATTGTGTGTCAGCATCAATTGAAGCCCAGTGCAATGGCTTCTGGGGAGGTCAGGAGAAGGGGCTGGGAGAGAGGGAATTGTTCCGTCCAGCAAGCTGATACGCTTGCTCAGACGGGATAGGCTTGCACAGATTTTGTAAAATGACAATGTAGACTAAAAAAAGGGCAATTTCACATTATCTGTCACGTGTCCATCACTTTTCCCTTATTCCAAATGAGAACTCTAAAACGGTTTTAATAAATTAGTTTAACGCTTCAGCAAACACAGCGCACCAGAGTTATACTGTCCCTACTTAATCCCGACAGAGAATTTTCATCTCTGTACTCTTGTAATCCAGCATTTAGCTGGATGTCCACTGCAAATGAAGCACCTCTAGGAAACTAGGTACTCTGTACTGTAATGCCCTATTGAATAACAGGGACGTGATGGCGCTGTGGTCTAAGCCACTGTGCCTCTTGGGTTTGCTGATCGGAAGGTTGGCAGTTTGAATCCCTGCGATGGGATGAGCCCTTGTTGCTCTGTCCCAGCTCCTGCCAACCTAGCAGTTCAAAAGCAAACCAGCACAAGGAGATAAATAGGTACTGCTGTGGCGGGAAGATAAATGGTGTTTCCATGTGCTCTAGCTTTAGTCACGGAGTCCCGTTGCGCCAAAAGTGGTTGAGTCATGCTGGCCACATGACCCAGAAAAGCTGTCTGTGGACAAATGCTAGCTCCATTGGTCTGAAAGCAGAGATCACCACCGGACACCAAGGTCGAATTTGGCTGAAATTAACCATCCAGGGGTGTTTCACCTTTTACCTATTGCATACACAGGGCTACCTTGTTACAAAATGCTGTGATGTTCCATTTGTTTTAGTTTTTTCACTTTACATAGAACACAGAGTTTCCATGAACAGAAAATCCAAGCTATAATGACTTTTAAGAGGAGTGGCTAAAGCAAAAAGCACCCTAGATATGCTTACTCAAAGTTCCACTGTGCTACAGTGGTACCTCGGGTTAAGTACTTAATTCGTTCTGGAGGCCCATTCTTAACCTGAAACTGTCCTTAACCTGAAGCACCACTTTAGCTAATGGGGCCTCCCGCTGCCACCGTGTGATTTCTGTTCGCATCCTGAGGTAAAGTTCTTAACCTGAGGTACTGTTTCTTGGTTACTGGAGTCTGTACCTGAAACGTATGTAACCTGAAGCGTATGTAACCCGAGGTACCACTGTAGTGTGTTTAGAAATGCAGTCTAAGATGCAGGAGAGTTAGCGTTTAGCAAGAGGCATTACTAATCTGGCACTGCTCCAAGAAAAAGGCACCAGCCTCTTCCTTAGCAGTACAAATTATTACATCACACCAAAATAGGTCTACAGCTATATGTACTGTGTTGAAATTGCATTGCATCTAACGGCATCAACCGTGGAAATCTTATTCTTTATGGCAAAAGGAATAAGCCCTTTCAAATCCAATGTCTTCCAGTTGTTTTGGACTCCTTCCATTAGCTGCAGCCTGCATGGCCAATGGATGAGAGGAGCTGTGGCTCAAAACAACTGCACACAAAAACTGCAATTCTATTTTGATGCATACCTTCAGATCCTAAAATGAAATGATGGATGTCAGGTCCTGTTGACATACGCGGTCCTTGACAGCTTTTCTGTATCACACCTCTTGGGGTTACCATTTTTATATGAACCACCTATATAATAAAATATATTTGCCTAAAAATTACATACGAATTGAAACAGACCAAAACCATCATTAGCCTAAACCCAAATATACCACTATTGATCAAAACATTTAATATTCAACTTTGCCTCTCTAAGACTAGACTGGGTGTTGTTGTTTTTTTAAAAAAACACCTATCTTTGGAATTTCAGAACAACCTAAGTTTCCACTAACTGACAAAAAGATTAGAACTAGAACAAGCATCAAACACCGATGAACAGTAATGAGATCATTTGCTGGGGGGGGGGGTTATTATTACCAGGTCTTCAATGTTTCCGTAAATGTTTTTCTTCATGCCTGATGCTCGCGTTGCCACCCAGCCTCCAAGTGTACTGAATTCCATTGAATCTGGTTCGTGGCCCACACAGTAACCGCTTTCACCCAGCTAAACAAGTGAAAAGAAGACAGCATTCGTGTAATGGACAGCTTTCTAAGGAAATGAAACTTGAACTCCAGAATTGGTTTTGTAGGTGCGTGTCTTTCCAGAGACGGACAGGAAAACCCGCTGTCTTGCACCAATAAAATAAAATCTGCTTTCATTAACGTGGTCACTCCAAACAGAACCGTACTTTTTGCTACCAAATTTTCTCCACATCATCACCCTCTGGTATACAATCACCCAGAAGTACACAGACGATTCGCCCATGAGAATTCGTTAGGATTAGCTGTGATTGCTGCATCGTTTGCGGGGGGGGGGGGAGGCGGGACTAGATTACTGTTCCAAGCCCCTTCCAACTCTATGATTATATCATGGCAGTACTTTTAACACCACCCTTATTGCAAAAACAGTTGCAAAGCCACGTACCTCAACCTGATGTTGTACTATGCCCATGAATACACAATCAGAAGAGGGTGAAAAATAGCCAAAGATTATTGTGTGAACTGGACCCAGGTCTCAGTAGCATGTATTAAACGTAGCTGTTAGCTTTGCCTCATTTATCCCCACAGTTCAAAAAACCGAAATCTGATCCCTTATTAAGAACATTCGACATGACACAATTTTAGCTTGAAGACTACAGCTCAAAAGAATTCACTTAGAAGACAATACAGCAAGCACTTAGTTATGGTTCTGGTAATATGCAGCTGGGTCTGTAGAAATCCGGAGCAACCAATTATATTCCATTCGTTCAAGAAGAGGCAACTTAATATACAACCATCTGGCTGGGATTTCTATGTGCAATACTACAGTATATTTGCTATGCAGATGAGGAATTTCTACACATTTGTCACTGGTTTCATTTTTCTTTATTAGTTGGGCTTTGCCATCTGCACTGCCTCAAAAATGGAATGAAACGCCTTTATACATTGACCCCCCCAAAGCTCTCCCAATGAAACTGCTCAGCAGAGCAGTCTTTTATGTCAACTGGCACAGGAACTGGTCACATGGGCTTGCGTTTGAAACCACATTCTGTGCTGAACACATTTGAGAGATGGATTATTCAAGTATGCCCTACGGGGTGGAATAGCTCCCAAGTGTTTTCTGGTACAACTTCTATTGGTAAAATAATAATAAGGGTAAAATGCAACTGTGTCCATCCACCAGAACACACCATTGGTTAAATTGCATCATACACTGTACCCCCAAAATCTGCTCTGGAGTATTGTGGGGACAGTATGGAGCAGATTTTCAGGGTGCAGGAGTGAGGAGAGGAAGAGCAAGTCCACGCATGCAGTGTTGCTGCTCTGCGTCTGGAATTGCTTAAACGCAATATATATATATCTGCCCATTTCTTCTGCTTTATTACATGCTACAGTATGGTCACCATGACATTTCAACGATGCAGGGATTGGCATTCCCTATCTTAAAGATCTGATAATACAGCAAGTCTTGAGCTCTTGAAATGTAAACCACAAGACTGTGTGCTAGCACAGTTTTACTTATAAATGTATACTATATACTGCCCTCTCAGAAAACATCAAGAAAGCAGCATCCCCTCCAAACAGCCACATTATATGAGGGTTATGTTTAAATCACTAGCAGGGTATATGAATTTATTATTAGAATATGAAACATAAGCTTTAAAAAATAAAATAAAAACCACTCCAAACCCCTAGCATCCTCTGGACAGATTGCAAGCATAGGCACTGCTGGAGCTTCTGTGGACTAACACTGTCAAATGTCAAATTCCCTTGCTATGCAAATTCTTTTGAACAAGATCACATATTTCTGCAGAGGAACACCTACAGGACCACATGACCCACTCACAATACTTGAGTATATACTCTTGAACATGCTTCATATGTTGACCAAAGTGCTGATCCAGAAGAAGCCCCCCCCCCCCAAGAGAAATGGCAGGAATTGCTTTGGTTTTAAAGAAAAAAAAGCTGCAGCAAAAGAAGCTATTATGCCTTATTCTAGTGGGACAAGAGTCTGTGGCATTTCAAGAATAGAACAGTTAGTGAAACATCCGAAGTTACTAGCCTGGAAAAATGTCATTTAAATTAAGAGAATATGCTCTGTGCATTTTAATTCCAACCTTTTTAAAAAAAAGCTACAGCTCTGGAAAGGTTAAAATACTACATCAAACAGTAAGAGGATATAAAAATAGAAAGTATGAAAGGCCATCTCATCAAAAAGTGCTGTGTTCGTAGTTTGCAACAAAAATCATTTCTTTGGAAAAAGCTACAGAACCCTTTTAAAGGAGGACCACTCATCTACAGAAAGTCTATTACTAAGTATCGCAAGTAGTTAACGATTCAAACATATTTTAAAGTATGTAGGACTTGAGAATGCTTTTAGACAAGTTCCACAGCAGTGCTCCCCAAATGTGTTTCTGGACTACAATTCCCATCATCCCTGACCACTGGTCCTGCTAGCTGGGGATGATGGGAGTTGTAGTCCAAAATCCGCTGGAGAACCAAGTTTGGGAAACCCTGATCTACAGCAATCCTTTGACACCTTCCCTTTAAGAGCGATGTGAAACAGGGCTGTATTCTTGCCCCAACTTTCTTTGACATATTCTCCCCGTAGCTCTCATATGCCTTCAGCTCAACTGAAGACAGTGTGTACATCCATTCATGGAGCGACAGGGCTCTCTATTCAACCTGGCATGCCTCCACACCAAAACGATAGCTTGGCGGGTCCTTATCTATGAGGGGTTTTTTTGTAACAGCCCTGACAACACTCTTAGGAAGCTCTACGGAGTCTCACCAACCATTTTGTCCCAGCCTGAATGGAGTTCAACCTTACCACCAGCCTGATGACGGCCAACATCCTGGGTCAGGATGTCACCTGCACTCCACTGGTGACCACATGCTTGAGGTGGTAGGCGGTTTTGTCTACCTGGGCTCCACCATAACCAGCAACCTCTCCATCAACACCAAGCTGGATAGGTGTACTGGCAAGGCAGCTACAGCAGTGGCTCACCTCTCCAAAAGCATCTGGGAGAATGTGATGCTAACAACCAATGCTAAGATGAAGTCCCACCAGGCTTGTGTGTTGGGCATGATGCTTTCTGGCAGTGAGCCAAGGGAAACTTACACCTGTCAGGAGCGATGCCTCAATGCCTTCCACATGCGCCACATCAGGAGGATTTGAGGCATCACGTGGCAGGACCAAGTCTCAAACAAAGACGTGCTCTCCCAAGCTCATTTTCCCAGCATGTTCACACTACTATCTCAGCAACATCTACCCTGGCACGGTCATGTCTGCAAGACACGAACCGGTATAATGATTAAGACAGAGCTGACTCAATAACCTGGAAAATATACACAGTACATTTGGCAATGTAAAAACCGAAAGTAATTTTCAAAGGAGTAAGATACCTGTCTTTCCAAGTCTTGTCCAACAATGCCAGCTTCAACATGAGCGGTTAAATTTTTCTCATCTATCCAGTGAATCCTGTTCTATTACAAAGAAACCAAAGTAAGACTTGTGAAACAATTTGACAGTTGACAAAATCAACAGTGTTTAGCCAATTCCACACACTTACCTGAAAGTAAGCCCCATTAAACATAATAGGGCTTACTTCCAAGCAGACATGTATAGGATTGTGCCTTCAGGGGCTGGAAATGGGAAGGTGTAAACATACATATTTTTTGCCTGTCTGAACTATTACTGTTTCACACAGGAACTAAAATTGTAATGATGTAGGCCCAATAGCCTAAAGCAAAAATATCCACAGGGAACTGAGGCCCATGGATTCATATAAGAACTATGCATCAATTTACCAATGCAATCAATATAGTCTTAGCAAATTGTTTGCAGATGAAGTACTCAGAGTAGTAAAGGATACAAGAAGATTAACAGGTGATTATTTTTTTCCTTACTCAATCCTGCTAGAGGCTAGATTTTTTAAAAAGGAACAAGATGTGCTTGTGCCTACTTCAGATATTAATTGCTGAACCTTATCCTGTTTTCTGCTGGGGCACCTCGCCCTAGTTACTTGAGTGTTGCACTATGAACTGGGATTGTGCAAGTATGGCAAATGCCACGCCATGCAGTGCTCCACCCTATGCGCAAACCAGAAGGAGATATTATACAGAAGTTTTAAGAGAAAGGATTCTGGACAAACTGATGATCAGTTATGACATCTTTATGCTGCACGAATTCACTGAAATAAAGATGGTTGACCTTGCATTGTATACAGAAGGACCACCGTGTTTCTTCCCACCCCCTCCAAACTTACCTGTTAAGTTATTCGAAAGCTGAAAGCTCTATTTCATGCTTTATGAAATCAATTAGCTATCTAACCCAGTGGCAGTCTTTATGCTCCCAACAGACAGCCAATGTGACATAATGCTTAGAGTGCTGGGCTTGGGACTTGAGAAAGCCAGGCTCAAAATCTTCACTCTGCTACCAAGCATGCTGATCCTACAAAATACTTAACTTTTTGGATAGGAACCAAAAATAGCCAAGGCCTTATAAAGATGTCCACTGTCACCTTCCCCACAGTCTTTGTTACCATGTGAGGGAAGTCAGCTTAACTTATGTTTTTGGTATTTGAAATACTTTTTACAATCTGACATTCTACACAGTTTTGCCTGAAAATGCTTTTTCCACATACCATTTGTGAGGTGTCCAATGAAACAATCGTTCTTTTCTCCTCAGCGGGACACTCAAGAGCATTAGAAACATTTGTTCCTCCTGCAGATACAAGAAACGCATTGACGTTATTTTTCGTTCATGTGCCTTCGTGCTAGTTCTCAGATACTTAACTATGGGGCTCAAATCATTTTTAAAATAATAAACAGTGCTACATTTGAACTTGGGAGGAGGCTTCCTCAAGCAAAAGGCAACATAGCAAGGGAGTCTGCTCTTCAAAATAAAAATAAAAATAAATCCCACTGGGCATACAAAAGCCATTAGCTATATCTGAAGCAGCACTTTGGATTCTGGCCACTGAAAACAAGACAATTATTCTCCTTAAGGCATAAAATTGCTATGTAACTTACCACCATATGGTATAATACAAACGTTATGCTTGCAGGCTATTTCCACAATTTTAACCACATCATCATGGCACTCTATAAACAGAAGTATAAATAGAGAATTAACATATATTAAGACAATGATCTCTGTTAAAACTTAAATGTACTAAAGTATTTCACAGTGGTTTGCTGTTACATTGATGTCAGAGGCCACAACTATACTAGAGTTAAGGAAGTGAAGTCTCAATGTTTTAGACACTTTCACTATGAGATGAAAAGGAGTCTCTGCACCACCAGTATTGGGACTCAGGGAAGAACTATATGCAATACTGGCTGGCAAAAATGGATTGAGCCCAGATCATCTATTTGGTTCTGAATTTTTCACATGTTCCTCTTAAACACTGAACCAAAGTTGCTTACACTTTGCCTTTTTTAAAAACAAAACCAAACACAAAAAGCTAAGACTATCAAAAAGAACCTCACAACAAAATTACAATTCAAGTAACAGCAAATTACAGATTTAGCAGATGCTCAAAAAAGCAAGGCCGTGAAAATAGAAGTAACACAGGAGGAAAGTAAAACCAACAGCCAGCCAAAAGCCTTTCTACAAAGTCAGGCTTCAACTTGGCACCTGAAGGTCCAAGATGATAGTGCACAATGGGTTCTTCTGGAAAAGTCATTCCGTAAGGTTGATGCCACAACTGAAAAACGCCTGCTTCTAGCAAAAACTGCATGAACTTTGGTGAGGGATTGCAAGGCAGGACCTCGGACACTGAACAGAGTGCACAAAGGAAAGGCATTCTAGAAGATATTCCAGTCCCCAACAGGGCATTCAAGCAGCAAGAATCAGCATTCAAGCCCAAAAATCAATAGGCAACTGGTCTGGTCCCACTCTGTAATATGCTCTGATTGTTGGTGGGTGTTAGTCCATCTGGTGGCAGGAATCTGCACTAACTGAAGCTTCCAAAAGCTTTTCAAGGCCAGCCTGGTGTTGAGTGCTTTATAGTACTCAGGTCTGGAGGCTACTGAAAAGCAACCCTGGCCAGATTCAGCTTCTGGAGGAAGGGGCATTGTTGGTGCACCAGCCCAAGCTGGTAAAAACTCTAGTGCTTGAAGTAGTTATGGATGCACCAAGTGTTATGAGATGGAGGTGCAAATAAGTACTGTACTCTCCCATCGCCCCCAGCCATGCCACTATCTGTGTATTGGACGACCCAAGTTTTTTGACGTGGTTTTGGAGTCAAAAAACCTTGTCCAATACATGGAAAAATACGGTATATCCTACAGACAACAAAGTATGGGCTAGATTCAACCAATGAATCATCCCAGGAGCAGGAGCTTGCACAAGGACTCCACTGGCTCTGGAGAGGTCATGAGAACCCCCAGAATGAGGGGGCAAGGAGAGAGGGGATTATTTTGCCTGGAAATCAGAAAAGCTTACATAGCGCTACATTCCTCCCTATATATTTCTGCTAGTTTGAAACAAGTTGAAAATAAACTAGCAAGAACAGTCAATAGGAAAGGTGTCCATGTCTTGATTTAGAGCAGTGGCCTGAATCCATCCAAAGTGGGTCATGAAACTCTCCAGTTGGTTTCGACCAACTTGCTATGTTGGTTTCAATGGAGCATAAATGAAGAAGCTTTGGTTTCTCTGGAAAATGCTCAGAAAGCACCCCAGCAAATATTCTGGTATTAACAACTAGAAATAAAAATAAAGGCTACTGAGCCAAGTCTTCCCAGCATCTAAGTTGCACAGCTGGAAGGAGCCAGCTGGGTAAAGGCCAGTAAATCACAGAAACTGTAAACAAGAACCAATGTCATGCATTCTGAACAGCAAATTACGTGTTCTTGAAATTGCTAGCATGGCTCAGGTTTCTTTCTTTAGCAAGAATCCGTTGCCCGCGAAAATCTGGTTGAAAGCTTACCATCTCAGAACTTTATTTCATCTTCAGAAAATTAAAGGTTTGCACACACTGAAAAAAGCTCCCAAGTCTTTCACGCGTTTGTATGTTTTGATCCTGTGCCCATGTTGCATCTACCTTTCAAATTCTGACACGGTTTTCTTTCACTTTGCAGGAAAGTGACCAAACAAGTAAAGCAGAGCCTGTGTTTTGCAAAGGCTTTTTCACCAGGCTGCATAAGCAGCATTCTTGGCAGACTTCCAAACAACATTCCTGGACCAAGTACTGGATGAGATTCTGTACTCTGCCAACATCTGCAAGTGCTTTCCAATATCAAGTTCATCCCCCACCCCCAGATTTGTATTTTGCTATATTGGACTTCAGGGTGGGGAAAAAGCCTTTGAAGAATGAGAAAAACATTCTAAAGAGCTTACCTGGCCATACAACTACATCAGGAACTCGTTGAAACATTCCTTCCCTGAGCTTATATAGTTCATGTAAGCAATGACCTAAAGTACAAAGGGGGGGGGCGATGTTTACAAAGATGTCAAGTTAAAAAATAAACATACAGTTAAAATGCACTCTGTGTGTGTGTGTGCGTGTTTTCTTACCATGAGCTCTGAATATCCTAGCTTCTGCTTCTTGGGTATATGATATTTTAGCAGCTTGGAGGTCTTTGATAAATTCTTCATTTGCAATAGAAGGAGGCACATCACTAAGATTCAAGGATGCCTTCAATGTAAAAGAAAAACACAGCTATGCTCAGTGCACCTATTCAGAAGAAGAAACTCCCGCAGAGAGGCAAGGTACTTCTACAAGAAGAGAAATGCCAAGCTCTTGGGAAACCAATTCATTTTTGTGTTGTCCCCTTTCAAACTATTTCTCTGTATTATTGCACTTATATAGCACCTTTCTAACAAGGCAGCCGGGGCAATACACAATTTTGAAATACTACCACCAAAAAGTGCTAGAGAATGCAGTCTTCTTAAGCTGACTGAAAGCTGATGGCAATAGCTTCCTGGCCTGGCCTTCCTTGTTTCAGCCTTTCCTCGGGTCACAAAGGCTTTAAATAGTCCTAGGGAAGGTGCAGGAAAGACAAACCATTGATGGTTCTTACCAGAAGCCAAAGGTAAAGTATGACTCAAACCCATTTACTGGTGTTGAAATTGGATAAAACCCTTTACCTTTCTTGTGGTCAACGCTCAGCTCATTCAACATCACTGTTATATTTCAAAGGACTTTTATTTTCTGCTACCTGTGTCAACACCTGGGTTGCCCAAACCAATGGTGTTAAAAGAAAAGGAGGGTACCATGTCTATCTCACTTGCTTTCTCCCTGATTCATTTCTGCCTGCCTGAGCTACAGCCAGCTGAGAGGCACTAGCATCAGACAGATTTCTACTGAAAAAGGGACATTCCATCGCATGGTGCTTCTACTCTAGCCATCTAGTATCACTGACCTCTAAAATATTGGTCTGAAGTAGATTACACTTAATGAATGGAAGGTAAAGGCTCTAAGAACTGAAAGTTTTAATTGTATTTATCCAACTCACTTCCATTTAACTCTAGTAGAAATGCAAGTCCTTTTTAGGAGATCCTTAGCTCAGGCTATACTTTATTACATTCTCCTCCTTGGGAAAGACATCTACTTCTCCATTTAGGTTTGCCCCAAACGCTTTAACAATTGCACTGCAAAGCAATTGTTCTAGACAAGATCTACTGCAATACTTAGAAATGCAGTTTAGCGTAAGAATGCAGGCAAAGCAGTGGGGCAGGATTATACCTCAACAGCAACCAAGTTGTATCATGTCAGCTTGCTTCCCAAACTTTCAACTGACAACCAGGACACACTTTCCCCTGGATTTAAAAGCATGCTTTACAATCCAATCTCTTGTAGAAGATTTAATATACATTTAAATTTGTGCCAATGTTACTAGCTAAAAATAAATACGTCCTCAGCTTCGGTAATCAAATTGCTAACCTGTTGCATGCGTGGTTTGTGGCACTTGTGGACAAGAGTAGGTGGTGCCTATATCCCAGCTATGGCATGGAGGGGACTTCTCTGCCTCTCCCCATGCTAGTTGAGTCAAACTGTTCCAAAGTAAAAGGACATTGGCACATTCATTTTGGTCTTGACTTGTGGCACACTTGCTAAAAACGATGGCGACCAGTGGTACAGGGAACAATTTCAATGCTTCACAGCTAACTAGGGCATCTGGAATTAGCAGGTACCTGTGCTGGAATTTTATTAACTTAAAAGTGTACCTGCCCATCTATATTTGATCACTTAATTGGCCAAGTATCTGGAGGGCAGGTGTAAAGGTACTGATCAAATGACTAAACAATTAGTGACCAAGAAACCTTGCAGAAACATAGTATTAGTATGTTAGCTATTCGATATTTATCCCAGCTTTTTTATCCACAGAGCAACTGAGAACTAGTAAATCGTAACTTTATAAAAAAATAGATTAAAAAAATAAAAATATAAAATACAGAAGCAAAACACTAAAAGTCTGTTGAAAGAAAAGGATTTTCAACCTGTGTCAAAAAGGAAGCAATGTAATGTTGCTAAGAAAGGTTACAGAGGAAAGAAACCTAATCAAATCAGATTAACTAAGGTACTTCATTTTTAGACACAGATTCACACTGAACCATATAGTAAGGAACCACAGGGCATTGGTAGCAAGCTTGGGAAAGGCCTCTGCCCAAGTTCCCGGATATCAGATAGTACAAAAAGGACAATGGCGATGGATCAGAGGTTAAACCTTATTCCAACTGCATGCAAAGGAATCTTAGAAGTCGCACTGAGTTATACCAAATTAGATGTTCATTTATATACTTACTCTAGAAGTACTTTTATGCTCCAGACTTCCGCTCATATATTTCTCCATCCAGTCTACTAAAAAAGGCAACACCGTACCACCTAGCCGATACCTGAATTCGAAAGTATTTTAGTCAGTTCTTTCTAGCCTGAAGCTAGTACAAATCTAGTATTTTATTTGTTCAAATATACACAAAGAGTATGTAATTTTTGGAAGGATGGGACTGAGGATCCAGGAAATTATAGATGTGTCAGTCTCGCCTATCCAGCTAAGTTGCAAAGAGTTTTAATATGAGCCATTCTTAAGCAGAAAGAAGAATCAGCCTTGTGGGTGAAGGGCCAGAACAGCTTCTGCAAAGGAAAGTATCGCTCAACAACCTTTCATAATCCAGAGTCAAATAAACACCCAGTTTTGTACAGTTATATACTTCTGAATTGTCCAAATGCTTTTGAAAGCCCATCAAAGATGAAGAAAACATAGTAGTAGGTGACAAGAACCCTATTACAGATAGCAGTTAATTAAAATCTTGAGCAGAGAGAAGGGTTGCTGTTTTTGGTAGTAACACAAAGTTTGGTATTAGGAACAGTGCTATTTAACTTATTCATAAATTATCTGGTGATTTGCGACATAAACTACTTGTTGCCTGAGAAGGTAGTTAACAGAGCAAAGTCTGAAGCATATTAAGGAGTTCTAACATATTTCTCTGGTCTGGGTAAATAAACAACAAAATGGCTGAATGGGACTGAAATAAAAAGGCCACAATTGCATTCATTCATGGCATGCTCACTTTTAGAATATTGTGTACAGTTCAGGATGCCCCAAAGACAGCATCTGAAGAGAATTAGTGCAGAGCTGCCAAATACAGGACAAATACAAGGATCAGAAGTTGAAGCTTATTTCCTTCAAGTTTTCAGGGATTAATCTGAGGGAAAGGCACCTAAATTAGACTGAAAAATTAAACAGTAGCTGAAGAGAAGTTATTCCTTCAAAAACTAGAAGTCATCATATTAACTGACATCAAGTTTACTACAGGAGGAATTACAAATACTGTATTGCCAGAAAAGAAGAATCCAAGCGCTGCAGTACTTTAATAAAAGTGGTGTGGCTAAATTTTGAATACGGCATGAGGTTCTTTTGAAGAAAAGATGACTAGGAGACTACAGCTGGGGAAGAGAAGACAAGGCGAACAGGGGTTAGAGCATCTTTCCTATACGAAAGAGCTGCAGCATTTGTGGCTTTTTATTTCAGAAAAAAAGACATGGATGTAGTTTTTAAAGATAAAAGTTATGCAAACTGTGAAGCAAGTAAATAGAAATAAGTTTGGCCGTCTCTAATAATACTAGACCTTTGGTATACCCAATGAAATTAATTGGGCGATAGCAGGATTCACAAAATGTGCAGTACACCTTTTACGTGCTCATGAAAGTCACCATCGCATGATCTGGCAACAGCCAGTGGCTTAAATGGTTTTAGCAAAGTATTAGACAAATGAATTCAGGATTAGCAAACCGAAAAAGCTGATGAAAGTCACCATCCTACGATGTGGCAACAGCCAGTGGTTTAAGTAGTTTTATAGAGGATGATTAGACAAATTCATGGAGAAGTCTCCTCTCATAAAAAAGGTATGAGAACTGATGCCAAAAAAGCATCTCCATGTTCAGTGATCATCCTTGCCAAGTAGGGCAACCAGAATGGCAAAGTTATTGCCTTCTTCTTGCAGGGTTTATGGAAGCATCTATACAGCTGTTATACGAAATGGGATGTTGGATGAGATGAGCTCTTGGCTTCGATTCAGTAGGGTCCCTCTTACGTTCACATAAAGAATAATTCACTCATCTGTATACATAAGGGTAGGATTCCGACAAATCCTCTGGTGCTTGTAGTTAACTAACCTGTGGCTCTACAGAAATGACTGAAGCACAGCTCTCATCATCCATGACTTTTGGCCATGGTGGCCGGGGTTGATGGGAGCTGGAAGTCCAGCAGCAACTTGCCTCTTGGCTCATGTAGGATGAAGCAACAGATGTGCATAAGGGAATGGATCACCTATGGGATTGGGGTTATGCTGGGACGGGGGTCAGACAACGTCCCGAGTATCTGAGTCTGGGTGACAAAGCCAAGCCTCAAAAAACTACAGTCTAGTAGAAGTGGCCAGACACGCACTCCAATCCCCCCGCCCTTTCTACAAATCCACGCAACAATCAGGGTAACAGCTTTGGCTTTAGTCTGCCACCGATGAACTATTCACATAAAGGTAACCAACAGACCACATACCTGACAGGGGCAACCCACCCAAAAGCCAATGATATTACTTCACCTATTATTTAATATCCATTTCGTGCTTTTAAATCCCTCCTGCCCCCCATCCCTTAGAAATATTATGTATCTACAAGGATGTTACCTTTTCCCTGTGAATTCTGCTTGTCCCTTCTTATTGATGATGAATTTTGAGTCATTGTAACCCCATCCGTTCCACTTAAAAACTTCTTGCCTAAAAGGGAAAGGAGGATAAAAAGAATATGACTTGTTAGTTCACTATGTTGTTTGCTCATTTTTGTCAACGTTATAATTCTAAGATACTGTCCATTCTGACGAAACATTACATCGGCTTGCATGATTACATAACTGATGTACAAAGCTGCATGTAGCCCCTTAGCTGCTTATAAACACTCATTTTCGTTACATTAATGCTTCTGTATACCAAAAATGACAGCAATGCTTCTGAACACCAGTTGCTGGAAGCTGATGGGGAGAGACAGCGCTCTTGCGCTTGAAGGTTTCCCACAGGTCTGGATGCCACTCTTGAGAATAGGATGCTTAATGTTCTTTATGTGCTTATGTTAACGACATTCTGAAGGAGGACATTATCCTGAACCTGATTTACTTAATGAAATACCCAGTTACGACATAGGTGTGTAGGTATGTTGACATGTGACAGCTGAAACTGTGAAGCACCACATGCTATTGTTGTAAATGAAGGGAAGATTTTTGTTTGTCAACAACTTGCTCCCACAAATTAGAAGAGTCTTAAGAAGGGGACAGGTGAAGCTAGAATGAAATTTGTAGATGCAACATCTGCATCCTGAGGCTAACTTTGCAACAGAGTGCTGGGTATATGCCAGGGATGAGGAACCTTTCAGTTCGAAGATTACATTTCCTTCTGGGCAGGCAAAACCGCAGGCACACGCGGGTGGAGCAATGAATATAAACTTTACCTATGTACAGTAGACTAGCTTCTGCACAAATTCACACAACCCTCTCTCACCCGCCCTCCAGGAAACCAAGATGCATTATTGAAGTGCACAGACTCATTCCAGCCAGGGAAAAATCACTCTAGGCGGGTGTGAAGCAAGGCTGATGAAAAATATGGCTAGAAAAGTCTCAAGGGCCAGACCAAGGCCCTGAGGGCCACATTTGCCCCCAGAGCCTGAGTTTCCCACCCTTTAGGTGTGCAGAAAGACCCGTTGTGAGAATTTGCTAGAGCAAATGTTCAGTAAAGGCAATCCTAACCTAGCTAAAATAAGCTAGAATTGCAACTGTGTCTGGTGGTTTAACTTTGATAAGAATAAAACAAAAACTCAAGTGCGCTACACATCTGGTGCGACAGTGACAGCTTGCTTCTTCGATGTAGTCCTCTACAGTGTTAAGAAAATCACCCCCAAAATGTTTCCACAGAACCATGCTTAGAAAAATTCAAGCTGTGAGAACAGCATGTTAAAACAGGATGTTAAGTAATTCTAAAATACTCCTCCATCCAAAACATACAGCTTTATGATTTGCGCTGCCAATTTTAAAAGAGCACTACTCATATTTCTTTACAAAGCAACAAAACTTACAACATATGCATTCCCCCCCCCCCATTTGAGAGAGGAGACATTCATGGGAGAAGGATCAAAGGGTCTGGGAAGATTATTTGTTCACAATCCAACAACAGATGTTATCAGGAAATGTTATAAAGAGGGAGCTATGGCACACTAAAGCTCCACCCACAAGGTGGCAATATTTCCATGTATTTGAATGAGGCAGGCAATCCTTTTGTAAGATCTTCATATCAAAGCAAGCAGATATTACAAAAAAGCCATGTAACTAGTGTTCAACTTCATTCATCCGCAAAAGGTTAGAAAGTGTCTTTCAGCCACATTAAATGTGTGTTTCTTACATGCCAATTGTCATTTGGATTTCTTTTCTGGACCCTACCACTTCATACAGATTAAGTCAGGGAGTAGTGTTAGAAACTCATATATAAACTAGGTGCCAAATGGCTCCTTAAACCAAAGTTGCAATCGCCAAAACAAAATTTCTAGTTGCCATTTTGGGGCACAATGGCTTTAAAATCTTATTTTTCAAATGATGGGCTGACTGGGATTGATTCTCAGTTAAAAATCTAGCTAGTTCAGATGACAACTGTGAGCTACGTTAAGAGCTTTGAGAACTTAAAGAAGAAAAGTCACTTGATTCAGGGACAGTCCACATATATATATATTGGCCTATTCAGACCTCTTTTCCTTAATGATGACTTCTGCTGAGGCTAAACAGGAAAAGCAATTTGATTCCAGAAATTCATTCTGATTGCGCAGATAAAATATAACTGATAGAATTCTACAGGATGGGGTATTGGTGTGTATGAAAACAGTCCAGATCCACTGATCCCCAGATAGTGGAAATGTCAGGCACCATCCTTGCATGATGGGGGCCGTTCATTCTGACATCAAGAATGCCCCCCCCCATTTGTCAAAATTTGCAGTGAAATTTGGGTCACCACAAATACATCTCATACTCTCTAGCCAGTCTGATGAAGCGGTTAGAATGTGGGACTGGAACCAGGCAGACAAAGCATTCGAAGGTCACTCAGCTAGGACACTCACTGAATGAACAGTCTCTCAGCCTAAGCTTCTTCACATGGTGGTTGTGAGGATAAAAATGGAGAGGGGGAGAAATATGTATTGGCCACCTTGAGCTCTTTGGAGGAAAGGTAGTCTATAAAGGTAATACTGAAAGGAATACTAAAAGAAAATAAATGAATGAATACTGCTGCAAGAAGCCATCGTATCTAAAGACATCTTCTTACCATATCCTTTTCAGAGATTTCCCCACTCTATTAATCGTGCCATTGAATCTCACATTCCTAAATTAAAATGTGTGACCGGTGTCCCCTAAGGTTTAAGGTACACATTGACAATTGGCTTCAACTCTGGTGATGTTAGTGGGAAGCTGTCCGTTTGGGGGGGGGGGGGAATGCATGGTTGAATTAGTAATCTAGCCAATGGAAATAATACAAAACAAATATGGAAATTGGAACAGATTGTTGTCTAGTCGTTTAGTCGTGTCCGACTCTTCGTGACCCTGTGGACCAGAGCACACCAGGCACTCATGTCTTCCACTGCCTCCCGCAGTTTGGTCAAACTCATGTTTCAAGAACAATACTAGTTAACTACCACAACTGTAATTTTAGATACATATATTTTTAGGTAATTATTTGAGCAGGTTAATAGTTTCCAGTACCTTCATATCCCCCCCCCAATCTTTAAAATCTAAATCATAGGTAAAATCGAGTTTCATGTAGAACTTCCCTCTACTCTCTGCAGCTGACTGGGCAGGCACACAAGGGAACTGCAAGGAGAAGGAGATGAAGGGGAAGTCCCATTGTTCAAGCAAAGTGCATGCCGCTGGCAGACAGGTGTGTATACTATGGAATTGTTTGAGCTTAATATATAAATACAAGAATAAAATAAGGAGAGCTTTTAGAAGTTTCCACCCCTCAAATTGAGTATGTGCAGTATAGTTCCAGCTAAATCGAAAACAAACCATCACGGATTGCCTTCTGGACAGAGAAATACTGACTCCCATTAATTAATCTGAGAATTTCTAACCTACCCATGCAATGCATACACCACAGTGGTGGTAGCTTAAAATAATTAACACCTCAATTCTCAAAAACACATTTAAAAGCACATAAAAACAAATTAAATGACATCCATTCCAAACACCCACACCAGCAGACTGAATGAACTTCCCTCCTCCTTGCTAATCCAAGTCATTTTCATAACTATCTTATTTATTTATCGTATTTATATCCCTTCATCCTTCCAAATGAGCCCAGGTTGGGAAACATGTCACTGATAAATTAACACACAATTAAAATATCTAAGCACATCTACCTATGAAAACAATTCCAAATCTGATGACACCTTTATTTAAAAAGACACACAATTTCATTGTCTGTCTACCACCCACATCATTACTTGAATCTGATAACTATCATAAATGCGGATGTTACACCATAGCTCAACAGACAACTTAACACAGTGGTTCTCAAAAGGTGCGGTGCACCCCACTGGTGTAGCAGGAGAGGATGGCATGTGCAGGAGGAAGATTAAAGAATAATCAAAAAACATTTGAACACTCCAGTGTACTGTATAGTATCAAAATCACTTTCTTTATTTGCAGAATATGGATAGATATCTTTTTGAAATGAGAGCATGAGCATCAAGTGATACTGAAAGCAATCCTAGTTGTGATCCAGAATCACCATTCAAACAGAGTACTGGAGAAGACTAGTTTAATTCAACGCCAGTAGCAGGTCTAAGCGACGCGGGTGGCGCTGTGGGTAAAAGCCTCAGCACCTAGGGCTTGCCGATCGAAAGGTCGGCGGTTCGAATCCCCGTGGCGGGGTGCGCTCCCGTTGCTCGGTCCCAGCGCCTGCCAACCTAGCAGTTCGAAAGCACCCCCGGGTGCAAGTAGATAAATAGGGACCGCTTACTGGCGGGAAGGTAAACGGCGTTTCCGTGTGCTGCGCTGGCTCGCCAGATGCAGCTTTGTCACGCTGGCCACGTGACCCGGAAGTGTCTCCGGACAGCGCTGGCCCTCGGCCTCTTAAGTGAGATGGGTGCACAACCCTAGAGTCAAGACTGGCCTGTACGGGCAGGGGTACCTTTACCTTTACCTTTAGCAGGTCTAAGCAGACCTCCAAAAAAGAAAGTTAGTCAACAATATGTGGATAGCTATCCAAGTCTCAGATTCACATGGACTGAAGATGAAAATGTCCCTCAATCTATGTGTCTGATCTGTGGTGGGAAGCTTTCCAATTCCAATATGGCCCCCAAACATACGAAAATGCAATGTTTCAGTATTTTGAAAGGCAGTTGGAACATTGGAAATGCCAACGATCATATTTCGAAAAATGAGTAAAGTCTCAGGTAAGATGCAAATTATATCTTACGAACTGGCTGAATTGATTGCTCAACAGACAAAGCACATACAGCAGCTGAAAAACTGATTAAGCCTGTCTGTTGCTTGATTGTGAAAAATTTGTTTGCTAAGGATGCTGAATAACAAGTTATGGAAATTCCTTTGTCTGGTGATAAAATTAAGAATAGTTAATGTCAACAAATACTGAGGCACTTCTGTGAATTGCAGCAATACAGGACTGACACTGAATGAGGAGGAGGAAATGGCCTACATTTTGAGCGATCACAATTTAAAAATGAAACA